TCCTCAACCTAATCTACAAGATCTTACGTGGAAGTCACACTATTGTCTACACTGACTTATCGTATCGTAACAATTAACAATGATACTTAGTACTTAAGAGGAAAAGATTTAGGCTGAAGATAAAGGTATATAGACAAGATAGACAAGGCATACAGAATGACCACGTTTGCGAGGCTAAGCCATGCTTTCTGATTGAATGCATGAATATTCCCGTGTTTACCATTGTTGGCCTTCTCTCTGTGTTAAATGTTGAATATATATTTTCCCAGTCGTTTCATGTTCAGGTTTGAGAATTGAGTGGTTAGGATCATTATCACTACAGGGTGAATATTCGAAAATTTCGGAAGAAATTAAGAGTAAAGTGTTTAAATGACTAAATGACTCACATTATTTTGGCGTTGGTAGTAACTCTGATGAACAGTTACTTAGTGTTTTGGAATTTACACTTTAGTAATCCCTAGTTTGTATATAAAGACCTCTACGTTACGACTATTAAGCTTTGCCAACAGCATATATGGTTCAATCAAATTATCGAAAACCTTGGCTGAGTCTTCAGAATTGGTTGCTTAAGATCCACTAAGTGTCTATCAAAATAAAGTTTCTACTAGGTTATTCGGTTCAACGGGCATTCTATCGCAGGTTCTTGAAGTATGTTTATACTTTTCTAATTGATGCCTCACTGTTTTTATGCTGATTCTACTTTATGACGTTGATGAAAATGTATGCAATTTTAAAATGACCAATTTTTTGGTCTAGAAGGACAATGAAGAAACTCGAAGTGTTTAACTTACTAAATACTATTATGGGTGTAAGATCCAAACGTAGATTCCAATAGGTCCTTATGTGGTCGAATAACGGGGGAATAGATTTATAGACTCGTGACCCAAATCAAAATCAGAACAAAGTGTTTTGGGTAACAACGGTTCTAAATTTCATCATATATACAAATGTACAAATTTACTTAAACAAATATTACCACCCGGTTATTCAACCAACAATTGATGCCAAAATATTCAATTTAAATTACAATGAATAGCAAAGTGGTAAGAAATATATGAAAATGACCGAAAAAACCAAAAGGTGAGCGTTATTCCATCCTTTCTGGATAGATCAAGTAAGATTCCGTTTCAGCGGCTTTTCTATAACACAAAGTGTTTCGATTTCTGGGAAAGTGCTCCAAATTACAACCAAAAATGCACTATCCCAGTCAAAATCAAACCGCACAATCAAAGAGCGAGCAGTCAATATGGCAGCCGCCAGAATAATAACAATTAAAACAAACTAAATACAGTTCAGTGAAGAACATAGAGACTCAATAAAAAGGATTAAAAAAACCAGGAAAATTAAACGTTACAGTCTTAATTAGCATCAAAAAAGTTAACAATATATACAAATAAAGAAACCACAAGAAAGAAATCACAAATGTATGCATGGAGAGATTTTCACTTTCAAATTGGATCTAACATTGGGTAATCACACTCTTTTGTACTGGTTGTCGTTATATTTGCTCTGTCCAAACTCTGAACTTGGTTATTTGATGCTTTTAACTCCAAAGTTTTGATAACCATCATGTCTTTCATTTTTCACATTGCATTTTGACTCTGGATACCCAAGTATTGAAAGTTTTTCATAAAAGTTGTCATCGTAATTACTATCTAGAACACAACTTTCATAAACTGCGGTCTAAAAGCAAATCAACTTTTCAAGTTTAGAAATTTTTGTCCTATGTTATTTGTTTTAGAGTTCCAAATTTACTGGACAATAATGCTTTAAAAATGTTTTCTAATTGGAAATTTGGATATTAAACTGGATTATGGCACGGAATCTTCAAGTTTTCTTCTGGTTTTTAGCAGCGGACTACGCCCCAGTTTTGATACAGCTAAATATCAGCATACTACGTGACTCATGTCTAGTTGTCATTGTATTAATTAGCTTGTCAATGATTCTAAAAAGTCAAGGAAACCCAAATTTTATAACGCGATGAAGGGGGTTCAGAAGCAAGTCGTTAACTCTCTTTTCTCAAAACATTTCCTTAGTCTTATAAAGTAAATAGAAAATCATACAAACACTCAGAAGTTCGACTTCATGGTTAGTATAAGAGTATTTAACCTAAAACTTGAACTCATTAGTCTTTAGATCTACACCATCATTCTCCCGTTGAGGTTTAGGGTCAGGAAAAGACTTTTATTGTCTATACACAACGTTCATTGGATCAAAGTGGGTAGCAGTGGACCCACTTCAAACCTATGTCGAGCACATGTGAAACTTTATCACCTGATAGAGGATGATAGGGGATATAATAAACAGACAAAATAAGTAAATAACCCTTGACAGTTATCAGGATGATTTCATTTTAAAAGCACGTTATCAGCTAACTCTAAGAAATCTACCTTCAGGTTTTACACATTTACTGTACAATTACCTATAGCATAAGTGGTCCTCATGATTATATGAAAGGTGCTGTCTGTTCTGGATGACTATACATAAAGCAGAATAATTCAGAAACTTCAAAATTATGATGCTGACATATTGTTTAAAGGAGTAGTTTCGTCACGTCCGGCTTGAGACAGAGGGAAACTAATCCGGCCGTATCTTTTATAGCAATGACGCCTCTAACTAGAAGTTTCTCATACTGCATATGATTCTGTCGGTCCCCTATGATTTAGGATTTGCATGTTATCCTACTGTTGTATGCCACATCTTTAGGTTTATTCAGTTTGTTATGAAAGGCTGATCTCCTACAAGTGGACATAAAATTCATAGACATCTTTGAGGGCACTTAGCTTGTGTTAGATAGAACGAATGATAACATAAATGATCCTTCTGTAGTGATGTACGATCAGTGAAGCTCGTTACATTAATTACAGACTAATTCTATAACGTCACTACTGGGTTTCCTAAGGCAATCCACCTTTGTCACATAAGAAACCTGGTAGAGTGGATGTACCTATAGGCAGTATAGTATATCATGATAATATCACCTTGTACCATTTGTAATGAGCATGCCTCAGGTTTATTATTCCCAGTGGAACTTTTTCCTGGACACAAGCATAATTAATATCTGTCCTTTATGAGTTTGCTTTTGAAGGACGTGTGGGACCAGTGAAATGTCACTGCGCCTTTGCCAAATCATTTGGCAGTCGGGTCACTGGATTCTGAACGGTTCATCGATTGTCGTCAAGGGCAGGAGCAGCAGCGCGCGTTAGTTGGTTGCACGCCATGTACTGGCCCATGCGGTGGTCGTCGCACTCTGTTCTTTGTACATAGTTCTACTAATATATTCGTTTGCTAACGTCGTTTTTGTCATGCGCTCTTCGAAGCAGCCACAGTACCTTGATACGATGAAACGGTAATCCACGTCAGGTGCTGATCACGAGGCTTGAATTCAACTTTATCTGGTTCGTCACACCACTGTCGTCTTACTGGAGTGCGCTCCTAATCACCTATGTTAGTGGTCTACAAACAGTAACGATTAAAGGGGACTCGACAAAAGAAATTTTACAGGATAAACTTGATTGTTGCATTAAAGATTAATAACAGTCTATCCACCTACTATGACCAACATATTTGTAATGTGCGAGTAACCATTCCCAAAGACATATTATTTATTCATTGGGGACAACCCCACAGACAACGTTAGATCGTAGTTACATATTTTCCATCGTTGCAATGACAAGGTGGAAAAATTGGTGATTTTTCCAGTGACTGAAATCGTAAAACGTTCTCACTCTCACACTATTAATTTCTTTCCTAATCACCAGACTGCACCGGTTTCACACCCGTGTTATTTCTGATTAATGTTGAATGCTCACGTTATTAAATGTAAGGACCTACTGAGTCGTCAGTTAACATCTTATCCTGTTCTTTTTTTCATTAGAAAATCTTACTGCCCTCAACACTCCCACGGCTCACAGGGTACCTTCAAGCTCGCCACAAACTTACTAAACTCTAAGCCTCACAGGATTATCCTTAACACTTAAGCATTGTTGACTGAACTTTTCAAGTACAGTATTCCTAAAGGAAACAACATTTTATCTGCAGGATACAAACCGTAGTAATTCTACCCATAGACATAACGTTAAAGTTTGAGGTATCGATTTGAACAACATTCTGTTTAGTGCGCTTTCGCAGTTGGAGGCAATATATTGATGTGGATAAAAGACATCCTAGTTGGGCGTCAACAAAGAGTACAGGTGGACTCCATGTTGTCTAGCTGTGAAACTGTATTAACGGAGTACTTCTGTGCACAGTTTTTGGGCTAGAGTTATTCCTCCTATACGTAAATGACCTTCCTCGTCTCCTCTCATCATCCGTCCTGCTATATGCTGACGATGTCAAGATATGGAGGGTAAAGGTGATGAATAACATCGAGCTACCTGTTGTCCAGACACACCAAGACTTAAAGACTACTACATACTGCCTCGTAATAGCCGCCAGAGGTTTTAGAACCTTATGGTCAATACTCAGGGCTTTTAGTCATGTCGATGCTGAAGCCTTTGTGACTTTGTATACGGTATTCCTGCGTCCCAAACTTGAGTACTGAATACAAGCGGCTAGCTGATGCTAAACAAGGACAAGGAATAGGTTCAGAGAACAGTAACTAAGCTGATTCCTAGAATAACAAAGCTCCTGTATGATGCTCGAGTGGCTAAATCAAACCTATTGCTTTTGTCATGTCTAAGAACCATGGGGGACTTGATTACAGTGTTCGAATAACGTTGATATGTCCTCATTTTTCTTCTACTCTAAAACAGAGAATTTGCGGGACACTCCGAAAGAGTTCACAAGCCCAGAACAAACTATTTGTCAGCTGACTATCGACTTTCCCATCGAATCAGCAACGAGTGGAATTCATTAACTCAACACGCTATTGAAGCTCTATCTGTCGACTCTTTCGACAGAAAGTTAGATCAACTGAGAAATCATAATCGCCAGGACTAACACAGACCGTATGGCCCCCTGTCCCTTCCAAACTGGAACTGAAACTTGTTGATACGTTTGTTTGGTGAAAATTGAAAACTGGAAATCCTTGAGCTTAACAAATAAGGATACAACTTCTTGCGCTACTTCGTCTTTTTTTGTGTAAGGTCTCATCATCCAACAAATAGCTCTTGCGACAATGTACCGGAGTTATTAGCGAATAATTTTCAAATCTTGCGTATGATGTGCGTAAAATAGATTCGGGTATAAACTGTTTGCAGTTAAAGACTAAAATTGCTCTCGAGAATCTGGAACATCGATTATTGTCCCATCAAAGTTGGTGATATGCATGAACTCAGGAAGATCAACGTATGTTTCATTTTATTATGTGTTATAGTTGCTTATAGGAGCTTAAGTTTTATCTGTCGAAGGATTATGGTAACACACTTGGTTTTCACGAACTCATAAAGTTTTTACTCGAATGCGTATGTGGTTCTTATTTTTCATCAAATTTATTGTTTCAGAGACCTTCTAAAGAAAAGTTATCTCTTGGGAGGTTTATAATTAATTACTTTGTCAGGCATTTGCACAACACAAGCTTGGCAGAACTAACTTCTCTGATCCTTAATGGTCTGTATACTACTTGTTGCTAAGTTTCTCGTCTAGATATTTACATGTTATTAGCTTTAGCGGGATTTGAGGATATAAAAATAGAAGGTGATACTTACTTTATTTTGCTTATATAGATTTTCAGGTCTGGTTGCTGAACAGCTTCAAATAGTTTGCTTGTTCGGTGTGATTGAATACATTCTGTCAAACAAGTTGACATACAACTTTTCATCCATCTGCTCCTCAATCAGTCATTTCATCATTGATCGGCTTAAAAATTATTCCCCCAGTGTTTTATTGCAGAGCATCTCTCTGGCTAAGGTGTGGTGTTCATTCATCTTTCTGAAGGTTCTAAGCGAGGTTAGTATATTTAATTTAATAACGAAATATAGCTTTTCAGCTTCTGGGCTTCCTTCACACCCCAGTATACTGTTTAACACTTACCTGCATTTGTTCAAACGGGAAGCAGTGTTTTCACCGAAGCTATATGATGATTAGGAAGTATAAAAGTGATAATTAACTCCTTTGCTGTTCTAAATTTCACATTGCACTGGTTTGAGAGTGAAAACATGAACCGACACATTCTCATTAGAATATTCGTCGATTATGTCCGACTGAATAACAAAATTGTCATCAGCATTAGAAAGTAATTGACTGGAAACCATAAATTTCTTCGGATTGGTCTCCACTTTGAGTTTAAGATTTAAAATTATTATTCTGCTAAGATTTCTCCACTTTATATGACCTACATACATACATTCTATTGAAATCATAAAAGGAGTGATTTATCATTGTCAGATTAATGTATATATCAACCATTTTTATCGCCTAACTTTGTCGATCTACCTTTTGTTGTATAAGATTGTTGTCGCTGAGAAATTACTTCCGATGTATCTTTAGACGTTTGATGACCAAATAATTGTTGGAATTTATGAATTTTCAACGTATAATTAGTTTAAAAATTCAGACTATTGAAACTAATCAGGTTTTGTTGTATTAATTCACTCTATTCTTTCTATGAAGGTAAAGTAGGCGACATAAAACTAATACCAATCTGCATATAGCGTACTAGAGTTTTAAAGATTTTAAACTGGGTAAAGTTACATATTACCCATATTAGAGGTACAGCATATGTAGTGGTAATACTTTAGACTTCTATATTGTAACCTTTGTTTTACATCATTTACAATAAACAATGTATTTTCTTGTTTTTCTCTTTTTATCGGTAAGTGGTGTATATTACTCCAACTTCTTTTCTTGTATCCAGGGTTTCGATGATTGTGTGACTAAATGCGCAAAAGTAATTTGTAGATCCATTTATCTTCACGCTGGATCATCTAATGGGGTTGTAGAAAATTCAGTTCAGGAGTTTTTTCTACATATTCTTGGCATAATTTTATCATTGAGCAAGAAAGATTCCGAATTTTTATCGGTTTTTAGAGCATTTGTAAACGATATTATCCCATGTCATTCTGTGAACGTAACAAGGCATTTCAAGTTACCTAAAAATTCAATTCATTGCTTACTTTCCGTCGTAAAGTGCTTAGGACTTGTTGAGGTAAAATATTGAATTGTGTTTTTAAATCTGTTATTTCGTGTATCTGCATATAATTATTGATTTTTCTATAGAAGATTTAGTTGTCTTCAATATCTGTGCCATTTATCTTTAAAGTGATAACTATGAGAAATATATCTACTTGAACACATCAATGCAGTATCTTAAGCACATATCGGTTGTTTCTTGTCAACACAAATAGAGAAAATCAAGTGGTAAATATTGTATTCAGACTTTCAGACAGCCTTTAAACAACATATTGCCTCTGATGTGCATTTGCTGATGTTTTCCTAACGTAGCTCAGGAATTACTCAAAATCAATCGCCCCGTGTATATACTTCAAAGTACAGACTATTCTATTCACAAACAAAATTTAGTGAAACTACTGAGAGTGTTTATTCGTTCAGCTTTCATTCATACCAATAACAGTAATGTTGCTTTTAAAACATCCTTTTGCGTAAGTCATTTGTAATGTTGATGTATACACCGATTAGTAAAACTGAATAATCAAGTCTACATTCTTATGCTTTATTCTGTTTCTAAAGGAAATTTATTAGGTTTGAGCACGTTGAGAACATATGTCTGCAAATGAAATTATCAGCTCTCTACTCGTATGCTTTAATATGAGACTGAACAGAGCTGAAAATGACAGATTTCTTAGGAAAAGAAGTATAAGTAATGGCAGAGAAATAATGACACGATCGTCACAAAGGTATTTAAAAAAAGTTATCAGTTACTTCTTATTTTTAGTAAGAGTACAAAAAGAAAAGCGTTGAATACGTGAATATAATCTATCTTCTATCTCCAATTGTTTTAATTTGCATTAAAAGCCAACTGGATTTCAGGCGCACGTCAACCACAGTCAAAATGGTTTATCAGTAGTTAGAAGATTCGGTTATCAACTGGTGGACCATGGACTCAAACAGCTTTTCACCCCACTTATTTTGAGTAGTCCCGTAGTATTATTAAACCTCGGGGAAAGTGTATGTAAATCAATTATATCTACATTTATTAGGTGTGCTCAAATGGTCACTTTTACTAGAGGCAGTTAGTACCTTTCCATAATGGTTATTTTTGGCTGTTTTGATCGCATTGTTGTTTTGGTTTGAGAAATTAGTTATTCTTCGTCGCAATACATTTGTTATTATTGATACGCTTTCATTTTGACTAATTGTTCTAAAAATATGAATTTAATTAGACTGAGCCATAATTTATGAAGTCTCATTTATTGTTGAGCGCTTACTAATGCTATTAGGTCGTTTTTGAAAAGTCGTAAAAGTTCTGTGTATTTTAATATGAAACTATACGTCTGAGGAAAAGTCGTAATAATTTCTCATCAACTTGTTTTAATGTTTTTGTTTTAATCAAAGGCTCTTAATTACGATTCATTTCTTGTGTGGAGTCTTTTATTGGGTGTTGAATATAATTGCACATGTAATGTGGCTTGTGGTATTATAAAGTCTATTTTCGAACAAAGGTTAGTTGAATAAGATAATCTGTCTTAATTTGGAAACTTTGAATAAAATGTTTTAGGTTGAACTACGTTCATTATGGTTTTAAACGAATATATGCATGAAGGTTATTTTAGGTTCGTGTTTTGTATTTATAACTGTTTGCATGCAAAGTGCGATAGCCAGATGCTTATCTATTAGATCACTATCCAAACATACTTTGTAAATACTGGCTACAGTATTTGGGTACTCAAATAAAAGTAGTTAGTTTTGAATCGGTCATTCATTGAATAGGAATCGAGTTTCTCCAAATAACAATACATTCAACAACACTGTAGTTCAAAGGTCCGAAGGCGAAGTCGTACTGCTGACTGTACAGAGGTGTGAAAGCAGTAAGGTGTTTCCTTCAGACAACCAGCATGACAGCGATGCTGCCTTCCCACAAGGAGGGGTGGGGTTAGAAAAGGTCGACCCTAAAAATGCACACCTCGCCTTATCCCACGGATTTCCGTCTCCGGCGGTAAGGACTTTTGAAGAACGGAGCTAACACGTCAAAAATCCCCCACAAAAAGGCCGTGCGTGACCGGCCTCAAGCAGATGTCCCTTGGGCACTGCGGTCACGCTCCCAGGTCGTTAAGACCAACACTAATCCAACTTCTTTTTCAGGTCCCTCAAGAAATACCCTTCCACGGTGTGGGCAGCCGGGAAGTGATACTAGCCCTCATACCCTTAACTGCACACAAGACCAAGTTGGTCGCTTTCAAATTCTTCCTACACCTAATAACTCTGTTATCTCCACGACTAACCCTTCCCACGTCCTTTTATCACCTCGCACCTCTAGGGCAAACGATTCGAGTACACAGAACGTTATTCCTGGTCTCCTGAAACCACGCTCTAAACTACATATAGGAACTTTTAATGTCCAAACATTGTGCCAAATAGGACAACAGGCTTCCTTAGCTAGGACTCTTGAATCTTACACCATCGATGTGTGCTGCGTCTCCGAAACGCGCATACAAGATCCGAGTAGTGTCATTCATTTGACCGCGCCTAATCAAATTAAAGTTTCATCTCGATACACGCTTCGTGTATCTGGAAGCCCTGACGCTGCTTCCCGTGGCCTCGTTGGAGTAGGTATAGCATTAAGTCGTAGGGCAGAACTAGCTCTTTTAGACTGGATCCCAGTAGACAGTCGTCTACGCGCTGTCAGACTAAACGGATCAGTAAGGACCCGGAAAGATAGGGAAACTCGTCGTTGCCTCTTCGTCGTCTCTGCCTACTCTCCCACTGACTGCAGCTCAGACGATATAAAAGATGAGTTCTACAGGAAACTTTCTGACCTTCTCTGAGAAGCTAGGCGTTCTGATGTAGTAATAGTAGCAGGTGACTTTAGTGCTCAAGTAGGTAAACTAAGTGAAAGGGAAAGACACCTGGGTGGATCTTATGGTGTCATGGCGAAAAGAACAGATAATGGCGACCGTCTGTTGCAACTGTGCTCAGATAACCGCCTATTTCTTGCAAATACTAACTTCAAGCAAAAGGAAAAACATCTTTTGACATGGCGACCCCCGAATTCGTCCCAACGTTGGACCCAATTAGATCACATCGCTATCAGCCACCGATGGAGGGGCTCGATGGAAGACTGTCGCTCATTCTGGGGCACATGTTTAGATTCAGATCATGCTCTAGTGCGAGCACGTATCTGTCTGCGTCTTACTGGTCGTAGGAAAGACACTTCAGGGAAGCCTCTAAGGGTTCTACTTAATGATAGGCAAGCTAAGAATATGTTTCAGGAACAACTAGAAAAACAGTTAGGCAGCCATGTAAGTTGTGTCCACCCCGAGGCAGCGTGGAATAACATCCGAAAAGCTGTGGAAACGGCAGTGATATCCGCTAGTAAGGTAAACCATAAGGTTAGGGAGAAACAATGGATCTCGGCAGCATCTACCGCACTGATAGATGCTCGTAAACTCATCCCACCTGGCTCTGAGCATAACGAAGAGCGGAGTCAACTTAAGCGCAGGCTTATAAGAAGCCTACGTGATGATCGTGAACAGTGGTGGGTAGCGAAAGCAAGAGAGATGGAAAAGGTAGCGGCAATAGGTAACAGTAGGCTATTCAGACTCGTTAAAGAAACCGGTATTAGGAACCCGAATATCAGTGAAACCATCTCAGATAAAGATGGGCATATTATTCATTCTCAATCCAGGAGATTGGATCGATGGGCAGAACACTTTAGGGATCAGTTCAACTGGCCTTCAGCCACACTTCAATTACCCACGATCCCCAGTCGTCCTGAATGGCAAATTGATGTAAGTCCTCCAACCCTCTGTGAGGTTGAAAAAGCTATAGGAAATCTGAAGCGAGGGAGAGCAGCAGGCCCTGACAGGTTGGCCCCTGAGATTTTTAAGGATGGTGGTCCAGTACTAGCAGTGAGACTGACTGAGGTCTTAGGTAGAATCTGGGAACTGGACGTAATTCCATCTGACTGGTCCCAATCACTGATTGTGCCAGTCTATAAGAAAGGACAAAAGTCCTCTTGTGACAATCACAGAGGGATCAGTTTGACTAATATAGTGTCTAAAATATTAGCTTCAATAATATTAGGTCTCCTGACCAAAGCTCGTGAAGAGCAGACTAGAGAAAACCAGGCTGGTTTTCGACCTGGACGTGGTTGCATAGACCAGATATTCACCCTACGTCAGGTTCTAGAACATAGACACAAATTCAGACGTCCCACAATAGTAGTATTTCTTGACCTTAAGGCGGCATTTGACTCCGTTGATCGTGAGGTTCTATGGCAATGTTTGTCACTGAAAGGAGTACCAAAGAAGTACATTAACCTCATAAAGGCTCTCTACTCGAACACAACTGGTCGAGTTAGAGCCTAAGGTGAACTGTCATCAGAACTGATTACCACAAGTGGCGTTCGTCAGGGCTGTCCACTCTCCCCATTCTTGTTTAACTTTGTCATTGACATACTTTTAGAGATAGCACTTTCATCAGCTAAACCTCCAGGAGTTGAACTTTTACCGGGAGGCTCACTTGTTGACTTAGAATACGCCGACGACATAGTTTTACTCGGTGAAGACGCTGACAAAATGCAGAGTCTTCTGACCACTATAAGCAACAATGCAGGCATGTTCGGGATGCGATTCTCTCCCTCGAAGTGCAAAATGTTACTTCAGGATTGGGTTGCATCGACACCTGAACTAATGATAGGGAGTGAAGTAGTTGAGCGTGTAGACCACTTCACTTATCTTGGGAGTCTCATCAGCCCTTGTGGTCTGGTATGTGACGAAATCTCAGCACGGATACAGAAGGCTCGTCTAGCTTTCGCCAACTTGCGTCATATATGGCGTAGGCGAGATATCCGTCTAGCAACCAAAGGACGGGTTTACTGTGCAGCGGTTCGCTCCGTCCTACTTTATGGCAGTGAAACATGCCCGGTGAGAGTAGAGGATATTCGTAGGCTACTAGTGTTCGATCATAGGTGTCTTCGAAGCATTGTTCGTATATCCTGGGACCACCGGGTAAGTAATGCAGTTGTTAGGAAACGAGTACTAGGTAGGGATGGCAAATCGATTGATGAAGTAGTGAAACTTCATCAGTTGAGATGGCTGGGACACGTGTTACGTATGCCCGACCACCGACTGCCCCGACGTGCAATGTTTCATGGTGTAGGAGTAGGTTGGAAGAAAGCTAGGGGTGGCCAGACCAAAACGTGGCAAAAATCAATGAAGTCACTGACAAGTGGACTGGGCCATGTTGGTAGGTGTAGACTAACTGGTTGGGATTCGCGTGATGACAGCAACCGATGGTTAGAGACCTTGAATGACATGGCTCGAAATCGTTTGCAATGGCGAAGGTGTATCCACTCTTTGTGTCCTACCAAATTCTAACCTTCTGAATTCCTCATATCTTTATCTTTTTCTCTTTCCAAATTTATTTCACTGTACTATACTCCTTCAATAATTTCTTCAAACCCTAATCTTTTGGATTTCTGATTATACTCCTACTACTTCTACCACTATGGGATTTGAATCGACAACTGCATTTCTGTGCTAATGTGGTATGGCAACTCGAACTGGTGTACGTACGTACGAAGTTCTACGTTGTGACTGACTGACTGACACTGTAGTTTATGATTCTAGATAGTTTTCTTAAAACAGTAATTTATAATCGGTGTTTAAAACTGAGTAGACATGCACTTTAATTCCTGACTTAATAACCAAGTAAAGGTTTATATACTCCATTTTGAGCTATGTTTTTGTGATGACTAATGTTACCACTTGATTGTTCAGACCAAAGTAATTAAATCGATGTTGGAGCCAGCATGGTAGTGGTTGAAAGTTGAATTTCCTGACTAGTGAACTACGAAAAATTCATTGATATAAACACGGTCTCAAATAGAGTGGGTATTGTTAATTTATTGTTTTTGTTCAACTTCGTTCTGATTCCTAACCGTTAGAATCAAATTGTTATCTTGCATTCTTACGGCGTGTATATTTACTTTTTGTCGGATATTTATTTTTTCGAAACAAGTAGACTTAAGTACGTGGTAACCATTTTGTTTATTCATTCAGTAAGTGTACTGAATGACTTGTTTAAATTTTTTATGGTACCGTCTACTGATACACTTAAGTGTTCAGTGACTGCGATGACGAATAAACTTTCTAGTTGGTTTACTATTTAACTTCTTCGAATTGAATATGAAGTGGTTTGTTGTACATTAGTGTTGATTTAGGGTTAATATATAGAAACTAAGGGGGTCATTTAATCATTGTTTACCACTGTAAGTTTTAAACTTAGCACAGACAAGTAAAAATTGCTCACTGTATGCCGCCTCTATGCATTAACAAATCTTCCTACAATCTTAACCAATATATTTTAAGTCCAGTATTCTATTTCCACGATTATTATCTTACTGATGCTGTTAAATGTCCAAGCCACTGTTTAAAATATGTAATTTTCAGGACTTTTTTCCGTGTTTACTGATTTATTTGGTTTGTCTTTTAAAATTGAATAGTGTAACCATCAAGCGAAATTCTTCACAGGTATATGATTTTAACGTACTTAAACCTGTAATTCAATTGATGTTAACTGGAACGGTAGATTGTCCCATGTCAAAGATGTCCTGTAGTTGTAATTTTCTCTCTACTACCAAATCGTTTCAGGTATCAATGTCTATGATTTGAATAACCTTTTATGAATACATAATACATCAGTTAAACTGTATCTTTATTGTACATGCATATATAGTTCCATTCATCGATAGATACGTTTGATTGTATGGCTGTAGTTATATAAATGTTTGAAAAGACATGATTCATAAGTTATTTTGATTGGTCAATTACCACCAAGATTTTGAAATTGTGCAGTATATAATGCAAGCAAAACAAATGATCACAGATAAAAACATATTAATATGCAACATAGTTATTGAAATATATATTGTGATATTCATCAATCCGTCTATCACTGAGTTGTCCTTAATAATTAATATACGAAAACAAATTCTTTAGGAATGTGGTTTAGCTACAGCGTCATGTTAGATATTACATAGGATCCAACAGTTAGAAACTGGTATTTTCTTGATAGGAAAGGTAAAACTTTGTGCTTTGTAGGAATTTTAAACATAGTGTCAACAGATAGGAAACTATAAATGTACTGTGAAGACGATGGTTGTGAATTTGTTTTAATGATAGATTATGGGGAACTTTCAGATTCTCGAAAACTTGTAAATTTGTTCACATAGAGAGTAGATTTTTAATGAAACAACTCCATTTTTGATGGATAACTAAGAATGTTATAATTCAGTGGTTCTGCATATTGGATTATATCAATGAATGTAAAAGATAGTTTAGTTACTATTTTGAAGAAAAAGATTAGATTTAGTTTAAGTTGCCGCTTCTATAAAGGGTGAGGTCTTGTTTCACTGCACCTGGATTTTTAGTCTGGATTACTAACACTTCCCAGAATACGAAGTACAAAGTGGTTCTGGATAAATTCTAGTCCAAGCTGATCTTTGACACAAAATCCACTCAGAATAAAAGTACAGTATTCTGGTAGCGATTAGACACATTTTTTGTGTAATAAAATACGTGCATGTTGTTGTTGAGGTTACATAGTATGCAATCCAGAAATTGGCGTCACTTAGGTATCTGGATTGAGACTTGCTCTAAAAAAGACGAGTTGCAGGAATATCTGACGCTTGAGTCTATTGCCAAACAAAACTTGAATAGCTTCTTACTACGTATGGCAAAGTATGAGTATTATCATAAATTCATTCACACTTAGGATTGTTAAGTTTTCAATATATTTTTGAGCACTCTAAGGGGATTTTGTTAATCTCAATACTGATTCACTGTTGAATATGGATAAGCTTGTGGGCAGAGAAAGAGTATATTAACTTCATATCATAAGTACGCAGAGAAGGTTTACCCACACTGTCGATTACAGTACCATTTGTATAGGTTATGTAAAACACTAAGAGACTACCTTGTATGAAACCACTTAAGGAGTTTATCTCAACTATTTCGTGTCAGTGACTGAGGAAAAAGTTCAGGCACACAAGTAAGGGATCTCTGATCCCATGTGATGTGCGTCATGAAAGATCTAGATTTAAGGTAAACATGTGGTTTGGTAACAAGTTTTTCATCGATCAAATAATCTTATATTTCGTCACATATAATTTATTTGATTATTCCGGTGGTATCTATAGTTATATTTGTAGGCGTGTATTTGTGCAAGCTAGTCTTCAGATTTGAAACGAGTTATTTTATATGCGGTTTTTCGGCGGTTAGGATACATGCATGCTTCCAGCAAAGCTATAAGTAGTTTTTACATGAGTAATAGATTATGAAGTCTGATATATTTGAAGTAAATTGATGTAACCCTGTCTACTCCGTGACTTTCTGAAACCGTAAAGGAGTTTGTAACTTCTGTTATTTTGGGGCAAGCGTAAAAAATCGATTGGATGCAGTTGCTATCTATATGTGCGTCTTCTTAAGTCTTCGATTCGTAGTTTCTTATGGAACGTTGTGGACACTCTTAGACTGTTAAGACGTTATATCATCAATTACATTGTGGAGCACATTATAAGAATTCGTAATAAGTGATAGTTACTACTGATAGGTAATTAATTTTTTTGTTTTTCATTGCATTTATTTTACAGAATACAAGCTGGGATAATTTTATTCATAGTTGTTTGACTAGTCAATTCACTTTATTACCCGGTTCAGATGCATTGGAAAGTGTTTTGGTCGTATCCGATTGGGAAGCTTCACAGTTATCTAAAAATTTTCTTCTAATTGATCAACTACTTGAACATCTTTCTTTGACTTTTCTTAACTCAAAAGATGATCAATATTCTGATATAAGTGAACAGAAGTTGCTTGTTTGGTTACGATCATATAGTTTGAAAGATTATTCCGATCTACCATTGTCAGTGAAACAGCTGGTTAGTTCTACGCGCATTCTTCATACTTACTACATTATATTAGCTAAGCATTTTAATTAAGTGTATCGGTCATATTTCACTGACATGAAGCAGTTATCTCATCGACTCTGCAGTTTTTGACTGCCAGATCGTAGAATTTATTAATGCCGGTGCAGTCCCTTTATAAAGTTCATCAGGAGAAGATATCCTTCTGAGATGCGGATAAGTGGAAAGTACCAACTGTTTACACACACACACCAAAAACATTTCAGCTCATCTTAACTGGCTATTTTAACTTCAAGTCAACATTAGAATATCTTCTAAGTTTCAACCATGATTATGCATAGTTTTAATTAGTTATACATACTAACTGCATGCCCCGACTGTTGCTGCTACCTTAACGTGGTGGTCGGGATTTGAATCAACAACTGCATCTCTGTGCTAATGTGGTATGGCAACTCGAACTGATGTACGTACGTACGAAGTTCTACGTTGTGGCTGACTGGCTGACTAACTGCATGCAATATTTCTACGTTTTATTATCACTAGTTACAAATAATATTTAAATTATTTTATAATTTAGTTTCTTATTATTTTTCAGGTACCTACTATTTTAACATACAGCGCTTTACATCATAATGATTATGTACGTATATTAGCATTGAATGGGATTCACAAGTTTTTATGCAAATATTTACATATGAAAAGTAAAGCCAATAATAATAATGATAAAGAGTCGACGAACTTTATACTGTCCAACATATCTACTACTGAAATCTTTATGGATATATTTCTTAATTGTTGTAATACATTTAACAATTGTTCAAATCCATCTTATCGTAATCAGTTTCAAAAAATTTTCCTCAGTTTAATAGAATGTATACGAATCATATGTAAATCTATTCATTTCAATAATAGTATAGAAATATTGAATAGTCTTAGTCATAGTAATAATGAAAGTATTATTTGTTTATCAGATACTGAAATATGTTTACAAGTGTTTGATAATTTGTTTGATTTGAACAGAATGAAAGATGAGAGTGTTTTAAGTATACAGGATAATGATGTATTATATTTAGGTAAGTTATCTCTGAAGTGTTTATCTTATTTGATGTAGATATATTGTTATTCTTGACTAGTTTAACGAGGGTGATGCTAAATAGTTATTGTTAGAAGGAATAAAGACATTTCAGCGAAGAGAATTTCTTTTTCGGTGATATCATTTTCTGGAGCTATACAATCGTATTTTTATGTGATTTTATTCATGTAGTAGTCTTGAGTAAGTTTGACCATGTTTAATAATTTAGTAAAACTCCTCTATTTTACTGTAGATCACTACATGAGAAATTATCTATAAATACGATTGTACAACTCCAAAAAATCATAATGTCAAAAAGAAAATTTACGTCATTGAAACGTCTTCATTCTTTTTTTTTAATGAATCAATGGACTTCTTTCGTTTTTTCAAAACTGTGAAGTTATTGTTGACTTGATGTTCAGAATAGCAAAGAGAATATTTCACAAGGGGGTTTTTATGGAGATTTTCCATGATGGTCTAGCTTCAATTGACTCATGATCTTAACCATGTAAAATTACTAAAATCTCCACAAAAACCCCCTTGTGATAATGATCATATGCTCACTAGTGACTGGCTACATGAGGTAATTCCTGGAGTTCTAGTGAGAAGTTGGGGCCAGTGGAGCTAATCCATGTCAGGTAGAGACAGGTATCTACCTCAGTACAATGGAAGTTGGTCGCTCAATTTCGTGGATTGGTTGAGGTTAAATATTGACACCGCTGGATGCCGGCTCAGTGGTCTATCGGTTAAGTGCTCTGTCGCGAGACTGGTAGGTCCTGGGTTTGAATCCCGCGAGGTGGGATCGTGGATGCGCACTGCTGAGGAGTCTCACAATAGGACGAAACGGTCGTCCAGTGCTTCCAGGTTTTCCCTGGTGGTCTAGCTTCAGTTGACTCATGATCTTAACTATATAAAAAAAGAATATTTATCGGCTGATGATACTGGAACCGAGTAGTCCCTTTGCATAAAACTGAATAATACATATTTGTATAGTGGTTTAGACAAATTGGGAAAGTAGTTGTGTAATACTACTCGTAGGTGCACATTGGTAGTAAATGATAGTTAAGTTACAATAGTTATAATTAGTTTACATGCGTGTTCGGTGTTCACATTTACAGAATTTCAAAATTTCTATTTCTTTTTGTTATTCCGGATTGTGAATTCTCAGGACGATGACTATTTGTGTAAAGGGCAAAATGCAACAGATTGTCGGATAATTATAGATAAGTGAATGACTATGTAAGAGACTAACATGATTTGTTTAATATTGGGTAATCAATGGAAAACTTAAGCTTCACAACACAGATTTACTTTAGTTAGAGAGCTATTGAAAACCGGGAAACACTGGGAAACCATTTTTTCCTAGTATGATGTTCCTGAACAATGCGCATTGACGACCCTACCAAGAGTCCAAATGACTGTTAATTTCTTGTTCTATTTCATTGAACTCAAAGCAGTAATAAATGACAGAAAAATTATATGTTAGATTTCTTGTTGTTCCTTCACTAGACAGTTATTTTGTACGGTAGAGTGCACAAGGAACATGAAAGACGTAGAACCATTGTGTTTAAGCTAACTAGTTATCGGGATAAATGTCAGTAAAACTATAAGGTTAATAACGTTAAGAGTGGAATAAAGGAAAATATTGTATAAAAGTTATTGGCAAGGAAGAACGAAATTTAAACTCGGATAAATACGATATAAAAACGTAAGAATAACACATCATTGTGATAATGTTTGGAGTCTACTCAGTACATTTACTATTCAGAACTTGTGTGTTTGCATCTGTTTAAATAAGAAGCGAAGTAATTAATTGCGTTAACTACTTCACATACTTAACCATTTGTCCAGATTAGATGGCAGTTTTTAAAATCTACGTATCTATGCAAAATTTCCGTTTAGTTGAACAGTTAAAATAAATGGGCCTACCGTTAACCTTGGAATAAGTTATTTTGTCGATAGTCGGTGAATAAAATGAAGATAATTGTTTATCAGTTACTTTTTTCATGATGAAATTAAAATCATCTTTGTAGAATGAGTCATGTGTTGGTTTATATCTCTAATTTCTCGTAATAATGTAGTCTTAGACCAGACATGATTGTTGTAGAACTAGTGCTTGTATTCTTGATCATACTTTAGTGCAGGGTTAATTTAGTGGCTGAAAGATCCTGCTTCCAACCACTAGTGTCAAGGTTCGAGCCCTTGGCCATCTACTTCAGTTTACGTAACCGGGTAATACCATCAGCCCTCAAACTCAATTAGTGTGTTGCTCATAGTTGAATAGAAATATCTATATTTGGTTAGTGGACTACATTAAGTAACGTTGACAACTTCATCTCTGCCTTATTCAGAGGAGTTTCTTTATGCTTTTGTATTTATCACAATAACTTATTTTGTATGACATTTTTCCTGATTCATAACTACAGTTACTGTTCTTTAGTAATTTACCAATGTAATATATTTGTGTTGTTTCTATCATTGTGATATTGGATTTTATCCTTATGTTAGTTTTGTTCATCATATTGAACAGGAATTATCAACAATTTTTTCAGTTACTAAAATCAATCTAATCTGTTAGCAGAAATCAAGCAATTTCACAAAAATACTTCTTTATAATGCATAAAGCACATTGTGTTTACCATTACAGAGAAAAAATAACCAATTCTCTCTGTCGTTGATGAATTTACATGAAAAATGGCTTGTTAACAGGGAATAGATTAAATTAGCATCTAGTGCAATATTGTTCACTGTTTCAAGTTTAAGAGAATTTCAATCAGTACATAAAAATAAATGAATTAGAAAGTATAATAATTATGTGCATTGGTTGTTTGAATCTTCACATTGTTGTTCGATACTTCAATTGATCAATATTTTTTGGCTTATTCGCATCCAGCTGACGATTTTTAAATATGATAAAATGAGCTTCCTGGGTTCTACTGTTAGCCAACCTCCATCTTGCCTTATGAAAGTAGAATAGTTATCAACAAAATCGCCAAATTCCGTTTCTTTAAATTCCATTCCACTCAGTCTCATTTTAATTTTTTTATTTCTTTAGTTAAACTCATACGTTTTATCAGTTCAATGTGTCGCCTCACTACTATTCATACTGGAACAGGTTGTCAAAATACTATTGACATAAAAGTAACTACGAGTATACACACTTACTTTTGGCCAGGGATGAGTTATCAACGTGCGAAACTTTTGCTGGATATTATTGAAACTGCATTAGGTGTTCTCAATTTAACACCGAATGGTCCATGGAATAAAAAATCCAGTAAATGGAGATCAGAATTTGGTAAAGGTAAATCATCCGAGAAATAGATGTTGGACATATATTTTGCGTCATATGCTAATGTTTATTTATAACTATAGTAATGTTCATCAAATGCTCTGACTATCAATTTCTATATCCAGAGAAGTAATTTTTAATTACTTGCTACGTGTCTTTTTGAGTAGGACCTCTGAAGTATGTTATATAACGAAGGTAGTTAGTGTATAGCTCTTTACAGTTATTTTATAAAAAGTATATCTGCAACAACACTAGTGTATCATAATGCAATCAACAACGTTGCTTAGGAACAACTTTGCTTCATTTAAAGCATTTAACATTATAAAGTATACATGATTTCCGTGAATGGAATCCGTCACTTGATAAACATTTGCCAAACTTGTACTCAACTTTATATATCGCTTTGGGATTCCTTGACAAATTGTTTCCGATGTATTCACGAATGAGAATCATTATTACTTAAACCCAAATTTGAGCGATTTTGAGAATGTACTTCATTGTGATAAATGTGCAGTGTCAGAAATTTTCACAGATTAAAATTTAATTTCATTCACCGTCTCATAATTAATGCAGACTGCTTTAATATCTTGAAGTAAGATTTTTTTCGGATTAACTCCCCTTCCGAATTCGAAATGCTGATTCCAATAATCAAACAATCATGAAGTTGAATTTGCAGCTGGTCTCCGAAATCACATTTCACGACCTGTTTTGTAGTTATAGTAAGGAATATCTGACTTCCCATCCATTCTCCCGCACCATTTCATAGAATTTAGATCTCTCTTTATTCAGAATTAGTCCAGTGCACATGACTGGGCAATAATTGCTTGTGAGTAGTATAGATCTTTTCCAGTGAATTTTAGATGAGTTGAAATTTTGCTATCTTCAATATCCTCTCTAGTTATGTATGAGATTTCAAATCGTTCCATATATTCTTCAATAAATGCTGTTTTCCAATGCGTATGCGGTGATTACTTGTGACGTATCCATAATAGCTGATAGTTTAACAGGTAATGATATATAGTATGGTGTGTGCTACCTATTTTGATAGATATAAGTAGTATATAGTTTTGTATTAAACAATGTATATATATATATATATAACCGATCTTGTCAATGGTATTTTAGCTGCAACCTCGGCTAGGTTACTACTGCACATACAATAGTCTGCCAATCCCCTTCATTTTTCATTTCAGAAATGTAGGATAAGGCTATTGAAAACTTTGTCATGGATACTGATTTTGTTGTTCTTTGCACTTTCAGTCATTCGTGTTTTCATTTGTTAAGTGATTGTGTAATATTAGGGTTTACTTTTCATTGAGGATATTATTTCAATGCATCAAGTTTAATATGCTTGTGTTTCTCAATTAACATGGGTTGTTTTATATCAGTCAAGTGCAAGTAACAAATTTGTGCATTTTTCGCAAAACAATGGTTTCTTTTGTTTGTTATGTGTTTTTGAGTTAGGGATAAGTATTTAGATTACATTTATTCATTGAGATTGAGTTTCAAGAGAGTTGAAAATAAAAAGTAAATATTTTTTCAGGTTGAAATACTTATACAGATGATAAAGGGTCTAGTACATAGTATAATCGGTTAAGAGTTGGTCATTAACTGAAGGACAAACAATCAAGTGGTATTTATAGAAATGTCAGTTGTCTTCTTGTTTTAGTTATGCTTCAAGGAAGTTACCAGTGTACAAGTAACTATTATCAAAGTACCATATTCCAATATCGTTTTTGTACAGAGAATTACTGAGTGGATGATTGCCATATGATCACGTGCTCACTAGTGACTAGCTTCGAGAGGTGATTCTCAAAGTTCTATTGAGAAGCAGTGACTATTGGAGTTCAACCGTCTCTGTTGTGAAGCAGTTACCCACCGAAGATAATGGAAGATCGCCGCACAATATCGTAGATCGGTCGAAATTAGACATTTACACCATTGGATGCCGGCCAAGTGGTCTATAGCTCAAGTGTTCATGCGTGGGACCGATGGTCTTATGTTGGAGTTCAGAGTGAGGGATTGTGGATGCTCACTGCTAAGATGTCCCATACTAGGACGAAATGGCTGTTTTATGCTTCTAGGTTTACAATGGTGATCTAAGATTGATCGATTCATGATCTCAATTAAAATATAATTTTTTGTTTATGTTAAACGTGTTATAAAGTGAACTATTAGATTTGTAAATAAGAATGGATTAGTGTTTTTATTCACTGATTTATTCTTTGTAACCTATAAACGGCAAATAATAATTATTGAATAAATCAACATCAATTTGATCTTGGTAAATAAATTTTTGTAGTTTGTTTTAAGTAATAATTGTGAATATTACAAATGATATCAATATGTCTTTTTTTGTCGTCCTCCCTCATCCGCAAAATCAATTTGAACTTAGACTCATTATACAATTTACGGACATTAATCGATAACATTTCTGTACGATTTAATTGGGACTACAAATCGACTAATTTATTACGATATTTATTGAACGGACTTCTCTATGTAAGCTCAGATGTAAGTTATAATTACGTGGTTAAAGAAACCGTTTCATCAAATTTATTTTTATTAGTGTTTATTGACCAGGTTTGTGAATAGATGTGCTCTCACCTTTAAATGTTTTCTTCAATGAATTATGTATAGATTTTGGTATTTTTACTTATTATGAAGAATATATTAAATATGTTCTGTAGTTCAGTGATTACCGTTGAGGAGATCCGAAGTATTCCTCTAAAAAGTACATAGGGACTCATAAAATACTGGGAAACATTTTGTCTAATCAGCGTTGAATAGAAGCTTCTATGAAACATCTAGAAATCGAAGAATCATGTGTCACGTTTCTGATTGGGTAATTACCTATGTTACTTCTATATCTGATATGGTTCTTTAAACTACCAGAAGCCCATGATAATTTGAAATACTACAAGTACCCTCTATCTTCTGTACATAAACCAACCTTGTATACAACCTTTTAGGTACAATTACAAATGATACATAATCAGAACTGGTTTATTTTTGAATGCTATTGTTTTCCAAAGAAACAAGCTTTCCAACTTTATATGTTTTAGTAAGGGAAATTTCTAATAATTGGCCCGCCGTCTCATCTGCATTATCGCCAGTAAATACTAGTTGAGTTTTTGTTGGCTCTATTTTGACAGTAGTGTCGTTTATTTTTTCCCTGCAGGTTTGTTGATAATAGTGGTTATGTACTTGGATTTCATAACAAATTAAGTAATCTATTTCATCATCCACATATAGCCTTTCGTTCCAAATAATTGGTATTCATGCCGCTAAATCAAATCTAGGCTTACCTAAATAAATCTCTATCATTACTAGCAAATTGTGAAAGATCAAACTTTTTCAACGCAAACTCTATACCTTATCGTTATTTCTCTTTAATTTTTTAGCTGCAGTCACAAATTTTATCGATTATTTATGATCATTGGATTGAAAATAAGAATGCATTGAAGGAGGCGATTTATCCCACTATGGTTGATTTAGCTTGTGCATGGTGCGATACTCCATGGTGTTCAGTTTATACATCTGGAGCGAATATTTTAACATTCTGTTCCATCAAGTAAGTTTGATACATTTAAATTTGTTGTTAGACTTTAACTACTGAATACTTTGTTAGTATGTTGTCTATACTCTGCCTTTTTTTGACATAACTTACAACTGTACGCTATTTGTAGATCCAAGTAACTTATAGATATTTACTTGTTATCATATTGATCTCTGTATGGTTTATTTGATGACCCATAAAAGCCATAGAATTTATCCGTAATCACGAGGCTTACAGAATTCATGTCTTCTGTCTCTTTTAAATTAGAAATCACTAAACGTTTTACTCTGCAACATTTACGCATGTTCTATGCAGTTCTGTTTATTAAGTTGTATATTATTCCTTACATCATTTCAATTTAGTGAACTATGGGATTCTGCCTACCTTGGTGCAGATATTCGTACGTGGTTTTTAAATAAATTGAAAAGATTTTGTGAATTAACCTGGATAACCAATAACAGTCTTGGTAATGTTGATTTAACCGTGTTTAGCAGTAAATTACTTCAAGTTGTTCGGTTTCAATCTGGTCTAGGTAAGCAACAAAATGTCAAATTGTGTATTTTGATAGATTTTTTATGTATATGCATAAATATACACTATAGACTACACTTTAAATAAGTGTCAAATGTATGATTTATATGTTAATATTAAGACATTATTTCGAAGAATAGTGTGTATAGGTGATATGTTTCACACTTACTAAAATAGAGATTAAAAGCTAATTTTATTATTCATAAAATGACATTACAGTTTAATGGGAAACAGTAGTTGAATAGTTCTCAACATATACACGCAATAAAAAGAAGTATAGTCTTTTATGAGGGGGCTTTGACTATTTCTATGAAAGTCGATATTCTTGCACACTTCGTCTCTATATATAGTTTGTAAATAACTTCGGAACATATCGGCCTGAGTGACATATATAAGAAGAAATTTTATCTAATTTAAAGGAGACAAAAGTAATTGAATGAATTTTCAAATAATAATAAATTTATAGGATATCCATAACTGATATGCTTGATGCTATTTATGACTTCTCGGTAAACGAACGAAGGTCAATGACACAGTGACACGATAGGTTAATCTAATCCATTGTCCCAGGCCCCGCTAACTAGAGGAAGAAGTCCAAGACAAATTCGGGGAAAATATATTCCGTAAGCAGCCGAAGTATAAGCAATCACACTAGGAAGAAATCAAACGTATTCATACAGTACAGAGTTGTCCTTGGGAATCATTACAAAATGGTACACTAAAAAGATACAACGGACCAATAGCGTTTAAGATATTTCCAAGTGGGAAATATGACTCGAAGGTGAATGGAGCGCTTTTGGCGCTAAAACAAGGATATTCAAATTTTCAAAATAAAATTACAAAATTAAGTAATTTATCAAGTACGATCTGGGGATTTAACATCACCAACAATAATAAAATAATATTAATAAGAATATTCATAATGACAATAGTAATGATGGTAATAATAATAATAACTCATTGATATATATTATAGCTAAATCCTGAGCGAAAAATGTATTCGCTAATATAAAAAGTAACCGTATAAATTAATCTCTTTGATGCATTACATATCTGTACAAAACTTACTACCTATTGATAAGATGGTATGAATATATATGTTATTATTTTGTTATCATCTTATAAATCCTTTCTATATCCAATTATTTTATTACTGTACTAATGTTTCATCATTGATTTAAGTATATAATCATTTGAACTGTGATATGATGTGACTACTTGAATCATTGTACATAGTTACCAGATACTATGTCGCTTATAACTTTGAATTCCTTTCAACTTCTATTGTATTCAGTAGACTATTCAAAAAGTTTTATTTATTTCTGACATCAATTATTAACGAGTAAATCTGATTTTGCTGTCGAAAAAAATGCTGTGAATGAGAGTAATGTGTTGTATTTTGTTTTATCTTAAAGTCCTTTGTTATAGTTAATTAATAAAGGAATTTCATATTGTTATTATTGATTTCTTGAATTTCCTGTCTTGTTCAATGATTTATTTATCAGTAAAGACTTTAGATTTTTGAGAGTTAAGATAAAGAAGCTTGTTACCTTTTAACATCTGTGTATTACTGTGTTTCTTTTTAACTGTTTAGTTAGTATAGGATAAATGGTTTATCCAATTGGATAAGATTAGTTTCAGCTTTTTTTGTTGTTGTTGATTTATACTAAATGATTATGTTGTATCCCGAAGAGAATTACGAATGGTAACTTATGAGGACTATTTATTGGTCAATATAATATGTATATTTCCTATTGTAATTAACCTAATCATATTCGTTTCCTCTCATCATTAGCTTTATTTTGACCTTTGAACTGTTATTATACGATCCTTGAGTTATCACCAGTTTATTGATTACTATTCACAGCCACATTCGGCTAAATATTGTACAAATGTTATTTTCTATTTTATGATACGATTTGGTCAGTCTGTTTGGTATATAAAATGAGTATGTTTGAAATACAATGATTCATACCACTGAGGCTGTTATTGGTGTTTTGGACTTAACTGGTTGGGCTAGGCAGATCGCAGGACCGGTTTGCACTCTAGTCTGCTCGTACGGTTTCGTGTGTCACTGTTCCAATCGACAATTCGCTGCTCCTTGATTGGCGGTTCTATCACGTCACACATTAGCAAGGCATTCACTCGGCCACAAGCTATAACGGATTATATGCATTTACTGAACGAAAGCAGCGAAAATTCTCATCCTCTTAGGACGATTGGATTAGGCCTACAGTAACTTTTAGTTATGAGTGATTGAGATTTGTCTAATACAAACGGGATTGGATGCAAAATTGGTAGTATATCAGCTGATATATACCAACACTTTAACGTTAATAATTCACACATAAATATGACATAGGGAAGACGAGACTTTTAGAATAGCTTTATATTCCGAATAAAAGTCAGAGATATCAGAATTAAAATGGAGTGACTTTATTTAGATTGTAATATACAATACATTGGGGCACAACAAAAATAGCAACTTCAAAGTAATAATGACCGATCAGATCATAGTGAATTGTTGCGTTTATCCTCACCAGCTAAAACCATCGTTTATTGGCAAAAGACTTCTTAACTTGTGTTCTTTCTAGTAATAGGTTAAATGTACTGTCTTTGCGAGAACTCATTTGGAAAAATTTAAAGTCTACTTCGCTGTTTGTATAAGTAATAATTGATTGACAGTTGTCACAAATAGCATTGAATGATCTACGCATGATATGTTGTAAATTGAGTGAAATTTAAATCGTTCCATTAAACGTTGACCCAGTGGTTCTAATGGTTAAAGGTCCGCTGCTGGACATAAAACTCTTCGGTTCCGTCCCTATTAGGGTTATGTGTGCTCACTGATGAGGAACTATATACTTGAATGAGACAGCTGTCCGGTGCTTTCTGGTTCCTAATATTGTCCCAACTGTGATCGATCTATGACGAATAAAACTTACAGTCTAAGCTAATCTTTACAAAACGACGTCAACAAAAACAAATTCAGCAGTTTCTATTTTCCACAAAGAGTTGTTTTATTCGTTTTAATCAATAATATTCTGAAATTGTTATATCATTTATAGAATATATATAATCGAATGCCTTATCTTTGTGAGTGTTTGATGTACGCTTCATTTTAGTGTTTTTTTCGAATAAACATTTAGTTAATGCGTATACTTGCTAAACAATCATTTACATTTTGAAATTGGATGCAAAATATCGATTATGGAGATTGATGCATCTACCTTCATGGACCGTAACATTTTTGTACACGTCTTTGGATTGAAATCGTGTATATCAATTTTAATTGCTTTTAGTCATAGTAATTTCTTGTTGTTCATATTCAAGGCTGATTAGTCTTTATTGTCATATATGCATCCTCAGCGAATTACGTCGATATGACGTTGAGTCACATGTTATGGTTTAATTAATGAATGACTAACAGTTAAATTCAAATCGTTTGCTTCCTCGTACATAGGACTCGTTAACTGGATATACCTAACTCTCAATATTGATATTCTCAGTAACTCAGTAGAAAACAATTTGAGCGTTCAAAGTGATAAGTATTGGATTCGAGTGTCAATATGAACATCAATACTGGGCTGCAGGAATATCCAGATGATGTGTCGCAGATAAAATGAAACACACATTATGAATCTTACTGTTAGCCATATACCAAGTGTTGTATGGTTTGTTTACTTTTGTTCATGTCTTCTGATCTTAAATCCTTATTTCTGTTTCGGACTGAATTTTTCACCCTTCCTCTCATTCATTCACTGTCGAATTAGACTTATCGTATAATTCTTATATCTGTTGCATGATAATTACTCATATCTTACCGAAAGAATTTGTTTTTCTTAAAAAGAGATACTTAAAAAGAGATAAAATTTTTTTTATCACTTTCACATTTCTTTCCCTATGTTACTTCATTCTGCAGGGTTTCTCTTGACTATTGATCAAATTCTAACTACCTGTCTAAGTAGACTAATGAAAAATTCAAAGAATAATAAATGGAATCAATTCATTGATCCAATGCTTTATGAATTCATTTGTTGTAAAGAATTACCCACTCTATGTTTGGAATTATGTAATCTATGTCTTTTTTCAATGGGTTGTCAAATTTGTCAATTTAATGAAGAAGACGATTGTTTTGTAATGAATTTTTCAAAAGGTAATTTCAATAACACGTTAACTAATAACAATAAATCTAGTTATTTAGATCTTTATTAAAAAAGGTTTTAAATTATTCTGTTGATCTAAACATTACATCTGTTGAATAAATTAATGTCTGTCTGGACTCAGTAGCTCAGTAGTGGATAACCCGTAATAAGTTTGAAGTGAAATGTATTGTGGTTGGAGTTTCAGTGTGAACATCAACACTGGGATCTAGGCACATCCTGTTAACAAGTCCCAAATAAGATGTAACATGGGTCTACAATTCCCCTCCTAGTTATAATCCACTTATTCTATAACATGTAGTAATTCTTATCATGTTTTTTTTTTCACCCTAATTTTATCTGATAATTGTATGAATGTTTCATCATGTAAATCTAGTTATTTTCTTTTGTTCTCATTTTTAACATGTTTAAATAGGAGGAATAGTTAACCTTGAACACTTTTAAGCATGATTTTGCCTTTCTTATTACAATAGAGATTGAAAGACACAGACTACTGACTCTTTATTTACTTCTCTATTTTTGAAATCAATAGTGATTAGCATTTTAGGCGAATGATTTACACTAATGTGAATTTGTCATACTGTACTTCATATGATTGTTAATTAATTTGTAATTCATACTTTTAATGACTCAATCCATCTCAGTTTTCTTATCACAAATTCTGTTTAATGCATTTTAGAAACCAAAGTACAAGTTTATAGATCAGCCTTTGACCTACATATTTTCAATGAAGGATTATTATCTTATGTAGTCAATTAAATAGAGATTTTTATAATGCTATCACATGCTGATATTAGTATATAATAATCTCATAAATCTCTATAGATTTTTTATTTTACAGTTATAGACTGTGGTTAGTTAACCAATCAAGGCTTCCTGATTTCCAATGATCATTTAATTAAAATCATGATGTTAACTACAAAATTCAAAAACCTATATACTCCCCCCTCATAGTAATTAATAATCATGTGTTTACTAATAACTAATTTCGAGAGGTAATCTCAGAGTTCTAGTGAGAAACTGTAATCGGTGGATTTCGATTTTGTCAGGTGCTAGACAGTTACTTATCAAATACATTGGGATATGGTTTTGCGACACTACGAATAAATTGAGATTAAACATGTAAACCATTAGTTGCCGACTCAATGGTTTAGTGATTGGGTGTCCGCGCATGTGATCGAAGATTCTGGGTCAGACCCTTCGTTGTAAGGTCGTGGATGCTCACTGTTGACGAGTTCCGGATTAGGAAGAGAAGGTTGCATATTTACTTGCTATGTTTATCCAGTCAAAGTAATTTGTTGTTTCTTCGTGTGTAACCAGATCAAAGATGATTAATATTTCTAATTATTAGTTCTAGTTATTCTAGAATGGAGCCAACCGATGAATTTGTGCTGAAAGTCGTTATCTATCACGTTGTAGATGATTCTACACATACTTCTCTCTCACTGGTTATCTAATCATTTAGTTAAATTAAAATTTATACTTCAGAGACACTAGTATTTCATAGACGACACAAATTCCAAACGAACACAGTTAATAGTGAATGACTTTTGAAGCATTCTTCATCTATGAGAAATAATCCATTTGATAAGTTACAATATAAATATGTTATTCTCTGTTGCTTTGACATGTAGATAAGATCATGGTATTTGTTATCTGCTTAAATTTTGTCTTCCAAATAATACACGTTTTTAATGCCTATGAAATATTGTTCTCTACTTATATAAAGTTTGATTTCATATAGTTTATTGAGCTGGTTAATTATACCTTCATATTTAAATCAAATATAAATTGCTGCTTTGAATTTATGTTGTAAATCTTTGACTTTAAGCTTGTAGTGATAAATTATGGAGATTTATATGCACAGAATTAGATAATATATTCGTCTTCCACAGAGCTGTTTATTTTCAAATATGCTGCTGGAGGAGTCCAAAATTATCCTTCGTCGAAGTCCCTAGTAGCTCAGAAACTCTAGGAAAAGTTTTATTCAATTACCGTTGAATATAATCTTCGCAGGAATATCTAGAAAACGAAAAACCATTTGCCAGCAAGTCTTTTTATATACTACTGGTGTTTGTTTTGGTCATAGCTGAAACTTATGACGCCTGCATGTCTAAAAATCATATAATTGAAAAAATCAGGTATTCTAGGATTACAGTTAGCTAACTAGGATAACACTTTATCCGTCACCACGGCGTATTTGTAAATTTGTTATTCTTCAAGGTGCCTGTTCATTCCGAGAATTGGGTAAATCGATTTTGAAGACTGTTACGTTAGCTAGACGAAATCAATCATTATCAGTTGGGTAAGATTTTTTTATTTGTGATTTGTAATTCATATCAAATATGGAGTGTTGAACCTGAGTTTCTTAATGATATTTAACGTCTTTGGTTGTTAACCGTACATGACTTGATGAAGTTTGATGATTGTAGTCAACTGGTTATCCTGTAACTCAGATGTATCTCAGACACGATTACTCCACACTCACATGGCATGTTGAGATTCAAATAGGCTTGTCTTCTGATATTTTCATTATTTTATTTATAAGTTCCTCTCATCTGATTGGTTTTGATACGTTTTTGTCAACTGGTATTGTAATTTGTCTTATTACCATGTGCCCCCAATTGCCCTGGCACGGCCGAGAGTGGAGAGCGTCCTCTCTCCCTCTCGAAGCGAAACAAAAGACACGCAATGGAAAAGGCAAGTGAGCCAACTTGATTAAACCAAGCGTGAATAGATATTTATAGTTAGACAAAAATAAGTTACAGACATATAATGAGTAAGGTAAGTAATTAATACGCACGCGATCATGTAGAAAAACAGTCAGGATTAATGAGCGAATAAGTGACAAGCTCAAAATGTGATTTAAACAAAATGAATAGATTGATCTGTCCAAAGGCTATAATAACCTATGTGGGCTTGTTAGAGTACCAGCCACTACAAGTCAACTCACACAACAATATGGAGTGATTTCCTGGTCGCACGAATAGCAATTGATGGCATGGACATAAATACATCGTAAGCAAAGGAAAAACTAAATGATAAATTCCTAATAATTTGATGAAAGTAGGATATACAATGATTACTTATGCACCAAACGAAAGATTACAACTAAGAGAATATAAAGTTACAGAATTCCAGATGTTTAGTAATTATGTAGTGAACATGTAAACAATAATTTTATGTAAGATATTTCAAAAAGTTTCAACTTTCTAAATATTTATGTATATTGTTTGTTTGAATCTTTACATTGTTGTTCGGCACTCCATTTGCTCAGTCTCTTTTGGCTTAATCGCATCCTGTGTGAACAGTTTTGAAGCAGAGATGGATAGTGGCTAGCAATGAAATTCAGGATGTGCCTTTTGCCCTATTTGGGACTGATCAACTGGATGTGACTGTCTCATCCCAGAGTTGGTGTTCGTTCTGGGACTGGAATCTAGGATCACATATGCTTAAGAGAGACTGGTGAACTACAGTCCTAAACATAAATAGAAAGATCAAGGCAACATGTAGATATGAATTAAAGTTCATCCGATTAAACAAGTGAGTGACTGTTTGGACTCAGTATCTCATTAGTGGATAATGTGTAAAACGTTTGAGGAGAAGAGTACTGAGTCCGAGTCTCTGAAATCTGATCAGACTTGGATTGGGTATCTACATCTTATGCGGATTGCCTTAATATAACCATTATAACAGAAGTTTGTATAGGACAGATGGAATGTGGCTAGCAATAAGATCCTGGATTCTTGTTTCGTCCTACTTGTGACGTTCTAGCTATGTGGATAACATGTTGACTTTTGAAGCAAAAGGTAACGGGTTCACGTTTCAGAGTGAACTTTAAAGTTCCGTGTAATAAAATTGGAGTACGACAATTTAGGTTTGAAGGTTAGTGATACACACTACCCTAGTTTCGAAACTATCATAAGAGGGGGTGGGATCCGAATCCCTCAACCTATTAGTTGAGAGCCGAGTGTAATCATCACTCTACATCCAAGAACTTATAGCGAACACCTAGCAGTTTGCCTTAGCCGATAATCATCTGTTTTACTAGTTTGATGTCTTAGTGTTTATTTCACAGCTGGAATTTCACCAATTGATTATTTCGTTCTTTTTATATATTTTTCTTCTTTTCTACATTTCTCTGTCTTTATTTTTCTCACTTTTTTATTTCATATTACCTTCAATAGTTTTTATTTTATGTTTCTATCTCATAAACAAACTTATATTGTTGAAAATCTTCGACATTTGGAAATCAATACAAAACGTTGTGGCTTATCAGATTGCATGTTGTGTATATCATTGCATTCTTGGATCATTTAATGATCATCAGTATAATCAAAGTTATTTGACTAATGTTTGTTGTAGGGAGAGATAGTTAAAAACTAAAGTCAATACCTGGTCTTTGGATTCGATTCAGAAAACCCATAGTTATTATTATTATTATTATTATTACTCATTTTAATACTCTACTCTTTCCCCTTTCTACTTTTCTTTATCTTTTAATGTCTATTGCACTATAGTAATGAAACAGTCGGTCAATCAACACATTGTCATCTCATCCAAACCTCACATACACATACTACAACTAATCCAACAACTGTAAGTAATGTAGATAATTCTGATGTGGATTTATTAAATTCTATTGAATTATTACCGGAATACCAACATATTCTCTCTTGGTCATGGAATACCTTGAAAGTAAGTCGATAAAAATATATGTCTATATAAATATGCGGCATTACAAATGTATTCATAATATTTCTAATGTAGGTGTATCCAATGTTCATGATTGATCTGTTTTTTAGCTAGAATTTTGTATTTAGCAATGATTCTCAGGGTAGTGAACTAGAACTCGGTGGGGAAAATGAATTTATTGTTTAATCAAATATTACTAAGTGCCTTTGTAAATTATGCAAACCATATATTAAATACATCATTTGTACATCTTCATTTAGTTATTCTTTATATTTTTATGATTCTTTCTATTCTGTTGTTATTACAATTACAATTTGTTTTTCTTCCTGTTCTCTTCAATCCAATCTTCTGCTGATAGACATTGTAATTCCAATTGCTGTTACCTACTACTTATATCTGTCAGAATAAGTAGTATGCATTACAGTAATATGTACATTTTGTACCCTGATTTCATTGATAGTCTACTAGTTAAGTAAATTGATTTTTAATAATTGAATTAAAATTTTGAGTCACATGCATTATTGGCTCAAGGTCAGTAGGATTAGTAAGGCGTGTAACTGACCAAGTCAGAGACACTGGGCTATAGAGTACATAGCATGCGCGAAACAGGTCAAATTAAGATTCTGAATAGTGACTTCGAACGTGATTTTGGACAGAGGACACAAGATGCAACACAACTCATCTGAATACTTATTTATGTACTCAGATTCAACCCATAATTTAGGCCCGATAACCAGTGGTACTATTACCTCACTTCCCAAGCTGAAATAGCAGGATGGAGTTTGAAATCGGGATATGCTAGGCGATGCTAAGTATATCACATGTATACGCTCACGTGCCATCTCATGATTAGATGATATGTGAGAAATTATAAACCAGATACGCTGTTGTGGGATGTCCATTGTATTCCTAGCCAAGGTTCCAGCCTAGATATCCTTATGTGAATCAGAAAGAAACATGTATTTATACCAATAGTTTTTGTTCCTAATTATTTGATTTTGCCTAATAGCTCCAATAAGCCTTGTACAGACCAGTGAGACTGGAAATCAAGTTCATTAATTAATACATTGTTATTCAGTTATTATTTAATTCATATTTTCGTGGTATTAAAATATAATAATTTAGATTTAGAAAATAAAGTAGTATAAAACCTCACATGAAAGTGTATCTTGGTTTGTTTAGTTCCTTTTTTATCAGTAGCACACTAAAAGAATGAATAATCTATAGGGAAAAAAAGTTTTACACACATATTTGAACATAAACAAAATTGACAGATGTAAATAAGATTTATTGTTGAAGGACAGTTGTGTAAATTGACTAAAAGATATTCAACGTAGATAATAAATAATAATCTATACAAATGTACTAACATGAATAATGAACTATACAAATCGACAGTTGCTTAATGATTTTCAGTTTCATTCTACATTGATTAATTTAGTTGTTATATCTGATTATCCTTCATTTAGTGGTTGAATATTTCTTCTATAAACTTTCTGGTTAGCGTTTTTTAACGAGTTGGTTTTCTACGGTATGAAGTCGCTAACCCTAAGCCCAACCCTTCTCCTTTACCCGGGCTTGGGACCAGCAGTAGCCCCCGGAGGAGCTACGGGCGAAGTTTTCTTCTATAAATAGAATTTTCTATTTCATAAAATCTATATTTAACTAGTTAAATATTAGTTCTATTTTCTGAAATATATTCAGTAAGATCTTTTTTGTCATCTTGTTAACTTTAAATATTCTATTAAATAACTTTTTTGTCATGACGTTTTTCATTTGTATAGATACTGAGATTGGTTGTTTCTAATAAAAGAAGCGATTAATACATTGAGTGACTTAAGAATGACGAAGACTAGTGTTTAAAACCCTTGATTGTATATTTTGATATGCATTTCCGATACTACGTACGGTACTATTGCCATATGGGCTTAATCCAGTTGACTCAACAGTGCGACAACCAACATAAACGGATGCACATTATCTTGAGTCACTGTCGATCACCAATCTGTAGAGGTTAAAGAAACAAAATAACACTCAAACGTTTGTTACTCCGTTTGATGGTAATGGCGACCTAATTAAATATACTGGTAATCATGGAAGCGATTAAGATTTTTATCGGAATCATCCCTTTTTAACCGGTTTCTATCAGTTATTTAGAAGGTATGAGTTTCTGATTAATAACTCAATATATGTGTTGCACCACTGCAATAGTGTTGAGTAAAAGAAGGTTTAGTTTCTTTTTCACCTGCGAAAAACACCACATAATAGAATTTTTCCTATTTTTTTTAACTTTCTTAAATACCGAAAAAATTAAACATTAGTTCTGTTCCAGCATTATTGCTAATTGGTTTGCTATTCAGTGTAAATTACCTGAAGAGAATGTAATAGCTGTTGTGGAAAGGAAATCGCTTGCTTCCAAAATTGGCTATCAATTATTGCATCAATTGTTACAATGTCGTCATAAGGTAGGTTGTATGTATTTCCTCTCACGTTTTTTCTGTTAAAAAAATACTTTTTGCAGCACAGGTATGCATGGATTTCGTGTTTCTTTTTGTTTTAATTCTCTTGATTGCACATGGAAAGTGAAATATGAAATTACTTTAATTTGTAAGGATTTTAATGATCTCGTTGTTGATACAAAACAAGTTCAATTTATACCTATTGCACATGTAAGTAACTAGTAGGATTCAGTAGTTCAGTGGATAATGCGTTGAGTATTTGATCGTTTTTTGTTTCGTTTATACTTGTTATCCCCAATGGAGCATAGACCACCGACCAGCATTCTCCAACCCACTTTGTCCTGGGCCTCCCTTTCTACTTCTATCCAATTTTTGTTCATTCTTCTCATGCCTATCTCCATTCCTCGGCATAATGTGTTCTTTGGTATTCCTCTTCTCCTTCGGCCTCCAGGATTCCGTGTGAGTACTTGCTTTGTGACACAGTTGGGTGCTTTCCTTAATGTATGTCCTATCCACTTCCAGCGCTTCTTCCTGATTTCTCCCTCCACTGGAATCTGGCTTGTTTGTTGAGTGTTTGAAGCAAAAGGTATTTGCTCTAAATTCTCGCGTGAATACTAGGATATAGGTACATCCAGCTGACAAAATCCAAGTAGGACTGAACACACGTCTTAGATTTGACTGTTAGCCATATTCCATCCATTAAATATGAAAATGCTGTTTATCCTGAAGCAGTTAGTATGCATAGATTGAAATCTGAATAAATTTACTAGCTCTACATATGTGTCTTAACAGATTTTTACACAAATAACATAATTGTAAAGCCCCAGAATAAGATTTCGACACTGGACAATATTTTCTGTACAGTTACTACTTACTTACGCCTGTTACCCCTCGTGGAGGAGCCTGGGCCGCTCACCATCATTGTCCATTCAACCCTGTCCTGGGCAATCCTTTCCAGTTCTTTCCAGTTAACATTCATCCTTTTCATATCTGCTTCTATTTCCCGACGTAATGTGTTCTTTGGCCTTCCTCTTTTCCGCTTCCCTTCACCATTCCAAGTTAGCGCTTGCCTCGTGATGCAGTTTGGTGATTTCCTTAATGTATGTCGGATCCACTTCCAACGTCTTTTCCTAATTTCCTCTTCAGCTGGAAGCTGGTTTGTCCTCTCCCATAAAACACTGTTGCTGATAGTATCCGGCCAGTGAATGTTGAGTATTTTGCGTAGACAACTGTTTATAAATACTTGTACCTTCTTGACGATGGATGCAGTAGTTCTTCACGTTTCAGCTCCGTACAGTAAGACTGTCTTGACGTTCGTATTGAAGATTCTCACTTTGAAGTTAGTCGACAGTTGTTTTGAGTTTCATATGTTCTTCAATTGTAGGAATGCTGTCCTTGCTTTTCCAATCCCCGCCTTCACATCTGCATCCGATCCTCCTTGTTTATCAACGATGCTTCCCAGGTACTTGAATGTTTCCACCTCTTCCAGAGTTTCGCCATCAAGTGTGATTGGGTTGGTGTTCTCTGTGTTGCATTTGAGAATCTTGCTTTTTCCTTTGTGAATGTGGAGGCCTATCGATGCAGAGGCTGCTGCTGATTGTTCAACGATGATCCGTAGTGTCGCAATCTGGTCTGTGCACGACCTATCCTTACGGAATCCAGCCTGATGATCCCTAAGTTCGGCGTCTACTGCGTCTTTCATCCGATTCAGCAGCACTCTGTTGAAAACTTTTCCTGGTACTGATAACAAACTGATACCTCTGTAGTTCTCACATTTACTCAGATCTCCTTTCTTTGGTATCTTGATGAGATATCCTTCTTTCCAGTCCGTTGGCACTTGTTCCTCTTCCCAAATCTTTTTGAATAGAAGGTGGAGCATGTTTGCAGTTATTTCAATGTCTGACTTCAGTGCTTCTGCTGGTATATTGTCAGGTCCTGCCGCCTTCCCACTTTTGATTTGTCTGATGGCCATCTTGACTTCTTCGATCGTTGGTGGAGTGACATCTATTGGAAGGTCAGTGTAGGCTGCTTCGATGTTCAGTGGATTCAATGAGGCTGGTCTATTCAGCAGTTCCTCGAAGTATTCTGTCCATCTTTTCCTCTGTTCTTGAATCTCAGTGATTGTCTTTCCTTCTTTGTCCTTGACTGGTCTCTCTGGTTTGCTATATCTTCCTGCCAATTTCTTCGTTGTATCATATAATTGTTTCATATTCCCTTCTCTTGCAGCTTTTTTTGCCGCAGTTGCGAGTTCTCCCATGTATTTCTGCTTGTCGGCTTTAATGCTTTTCTTCACTTCCCTGTTTACTTCTGCATAGTCTGCTTGTGCTTTGACTTTCTCTGCTTGTGTTCGGCTGTTGTTAATTGCTAGTCTCTTGTTCTTCCTTTCTTGAATTTTGTCCAGGGTTCCCAGAGAGATCCATTCCTTATGATGATGCTTCTTGCGACCCAGAACCTCCTGATACGTTGAAGTTAGTGCTTCTTTTATCCCTTTCCAGTTGTCCTCCAAAGTAGTTTCTTGTTCTTTCAGTAGATCCTGTAGAGCTTGGAACCTGTTGTTGAGAGTTATCTTGAATTGACTGAGTTTGTGAGTATCTCGAAGGAAGGCTGTATTGAACATTTGTAGTGCTGTTTGTCCAGTTGTCCAGTGTTTCTTTAGCTTCAGTCTCATCTTGGCCTCAACCAGGTGGTGGTCTGAAGCTATGTCAGCTCCTCTCCGGGTTCTTACATCTTCCATTGATCTTCGGAATTTTTTGTTGATACAGATGTGATCTATCTGGTTCTCTGTGGTGTGGTCTGGTGAGATTCATGTAGCTTTGTGTATGCGTTTGTGTGGGAATATTGTGCCACCTATAACCGATTTGTTGAATGCACATAGATTTGCAGATCTCTCCCTATTTTCATTTCTCTCTCCTAGTCCATGTCGTCCAATTATATCTTCATATCCTGTGTTGTCCACTCCAACTTTAGCATTTATATCTTCCATCAGGATGGTGAGGTCTTTTCTTGAGCACTCCGCTATAATTGATTGCAGCCTTTCATAGAACTGATCTTTAATGTCATCGTTGCTATCATTGGTGGGTGCATAACATTGGATAATGTTCATTGTGATCCCTTGCTTCTTTGTTTTGAATGATGATTTGATAATTCTGCATCTATGAGATTCCGATCCTACAAGTGCATTTCGTGCTTCTCTGGAGAGCATTAGAGCAACTCCCTGAGTGTGTGGAGCATTTTCGTCTACGTGACCGGAGTACTGAAGCATCTCTCCCGTACTTAACCTTTGTTGTCCAGTTTGTGCCCAATGGGTTTCGCTGATTCCGAGTACTGCCAAGTTGTATCTCCTCATTTCCATTGCTATTTGACTGGTCTTCCCTGTCTTCCACATTGTCCGGACGTTCCATGTACCTATAAAGAGTGTTGCTCTGGTTGTTAGAAGGTGCATCGGTCTCGTGACTTCCGAAGAATTTCGGCTTTCATCATGAGACGTCATAATTATTCCTTGAACTCGGAGGGCAGAGTTTAAATGGTTTGAATTATTTTATTAGCGTTTTTTAGCGAGTTAGTTTTTTTACGGGATGGGTGGCTAACCCCATGCCCAACCCTCCTCCTTTATCCGGGCTTGGGACCGGCAGTAAATCTAGAAGAGCTACAGGCGGAGTTATTTTCTGTACAGGCCAAACGATAATTTTGATCGTTGAGAGTTTGTTTTCATTCAAAAAATAGTCGCTTTTCTTTATTCCGTCGTTGGTTTATGTGTTAAGTAGGTTATACTAAATGATCTGCTTCATGTTCCCTAATTCATAGACCGTTTAAAAGCATTTAATAAGTAACCCTTGACATAAATGTTGCAATCTTGATAGAAATGATATTCTTTGTCTCTGATATTCGAACCTATCGAAATCAACTATACGAATGCGGCTTAAAAATTAAAAATGATTATATTAAAACATCCACATTTTCAGCCAATTTATATGTTGTAAAGCAATGAAATTTAATAAACTTTCGTTCAATCAGTAAATGCTTTTTTGTACTGATCTGAACCCTTGTTCCGTCAGAAGATTCTGGATTACGTGTATCAGTAATACAATGTACTGATTGTATTAAAAAAATGAGCAGTTATTTAAAAAAAATTTCAGTAAAGATAATCTTGGAGATTTTTCATGTTATCCAAAGTTTCTTTCGTACAACTACTAAACGTTTCTTGCTTAAATTTGCAAGCTCGGATAGCCTCGTGATATCTGAGACTGAGCATCTGAGTGATTCAGGCTAGAATCCACTAGAAAACATCAGTACTCTCAAGAGTATAGGTGTATCTTGCTGGAAAATGTCGATTCCACGAGACTTACAAATGTCTTAGTTATTTTTACGTTGAAACATATATGTTTTCCATTCATTTATTTTTTAGGGAACCATAGAAGCACTATATTCTAATCTTCTTCTTTATTTACAAACTGTTGAAAACCATCAACTTGCATCTTGTTCTTCATTGAAAACATGTAAAGATGATGCTTTAAAGCCATCAGTTTTAAAACTGGATTCCATAAATCTGACTACTGATGTTAAATATTTATCCACCTGTAATGGAGCTATTTCTGCTGATCATATGCTACGAATATGTTGGAATGTTCTTTGTAACAGTGCTTACTCTGTTACTAGACGTGGGGCTGGGCTAATACCAGTTATACGTGCTTGTCTTCTGGTTAAATCTTGTAACGGACTTGAAAATCCTGTAAGTAATATATGGTGCTTTTATCATATATTATAAGTATTCTGTGTTGAGATTTGGTGTTAGATGTATGACACTTGACAACGTTTACGCATGTATGTTGTTATACTATCACATCTTGTTAGTAGTATAATCCAAAAACCGTGTTTGATATTTCTTTTTTAAAACATTGATTTTGATTCAATTATAAGAATTTATACTTTGTCAGTAAGAGTTCGAGGATTCAAACACTTATCTGTGATGTTTTTTTCAGGATGATGTTTACATCTTGAATTTGACTGGTAGATATTATCAGATCTGATGAATATACTTAACAATTGGTATAATATATCTTTAGTGTTCTAAGTCCAAACAGATTAATTTTCCTTAAGTATGTAAGGGGTTTCTGGAGATTGATGAATTTCATAGTTTATGTCATAGACCGACCTTAAATGGAAAACTTTTGAAAAACAGGAAGCGCTAAATAACTGTTTCGTTCAAGTATGCGACTCCTCAGTAGCGTGCATCTACTTTTCGACGGGGGATCAAATTAAATACCTTCAAGTTTCTCGTTGAGCTCTCAATCTTTAGATAGCTGACTCGGCATTTAATGGTTTAAATTTCTATTTTCAAACAATTGATGGGTAACCCGGCATTATCGACCTCCGATTGTTACGATTTTTCACAAAAATTCCTGGAATTGTCTCGTAGTTATGATGGGCGTTCGCTTTCAAATATCTGATCATCTCAAAACCTGAGATAGTCATTATTTCCTGACTTAGTTGGTTATATCAAAATCCATATTGACAACTATCGATATAGATAAACTCCAAACCCTAAAAATGGAATATCATAGATACATTGTTTGTTTAAAGACACTATATTCCACTATTTGATCTGGATTAACATTGTTATTATTAAGTTGCAAGTAAAGAGAAAACATCAGTTACAGTAATATCATCCATATGTTTTCTAATTGTTTGTATTTATCTTCTTTGTAGCCATGTTCACTTGTTTGTTGTTTAAAAAGTTTATTTGAAATTACACAATCAGATGATAATGATGTTTATAATAATGTGAATAATAATACTACTCATACTATATCTGATTCAACAACACTTCATGACCCGCCACGAGTATTCGCTTTACATTTACTACATGGACTATTTACTGATTCTCGATTACGTGTACATGAACATTCTGTTCCGATAGAAAATAATAATAGTCTATCACATGTTAGAAATTGGACAATTGAAGCTCTTCAATTAGCGGTTATTCCTGGTTTTAATTCGAAAAAATGGAATGTTTGGAATGGTGCTCTTCAACTTCATAGTAGGTGTTATTTTTCATATATATTCGACTTTTGAAGGTTGTTTTTTTCTTAAAAAAAGTATTCAGATTGAAGTTTATAGTTGTGTTTTGTTTTTCTAAGGAAATCATTAGACTAGTTGATCTTTTTCCAACTGTGTTCTAAAACTCGTATCGTACTGTATTGAATTGTGTGTACCAATTGTAAATAGTTAGCTTGTAATTACTTAAACATATTAATTGGGGCATTAAACAGGTTGAAAACAAAAAGAATGAAAAATTGTTTATTAGACTGTCCAGGCGGTTAGGAGTCGGACTAATCATCATAATCATTATAGTAATCTTTTGATGTTTCTACTAAAATTCGAATCAGATTAATCAAGGTAGTCTAGTCTTATTGCTTAACAACTAGTTAATATCCTACAATTAGCTAGAATATTTATACATAAGACAGCTTAATTATGAACATAATTTAGCGAAATTGTAGCTTGCTTTGGTAATTCCTTCAAATTTTATGAACTTAAATGCAGCTATAAGATTTGTAAAAAGGGTGTTTTTTTGAATGACATTCATGTTATACTAAACATGCGAATGTTCCTAGAATAGAATAATGAGTTTTTAGGGAAAAGCGAGTGAACGGATAGATATAAAGATAGACAGACAGCCGAATAGACTGCCAATATAACTACATTTTTGATAGTATTTAACCGATTATAATCGTTATTTTAATGAATAAAATAAAGAGAGGTACTATACACTTTTATCGTTTCACCGACTTTATTATTCCTTTGATTGACGGTTTGAACTCTTTTTCGCTTTTATTTGGTCTGGTTAGCCGGATTGTATCATCAGCTCCCATATAAACAAACTATAATTCTAAGATGACTAAATAAACATGTATATAGTAAATGAGTTATAATAATTAATAATTATCTGATAATTCATTATGTTGATGTTGCTACATTTTTTCACAAGTTCTCATAAACATACTGAAAAGAGGTTTACATATATTATGCAGGTGAATAATGGATATTGTTATATCCCCTGGTGAATTATGAATCGTAAATCTGAGGTCTATTATCGACCAATGTATTATGCCTATTTCTTATTGTACAGTTGTTACGTAACTAAATTATTCATATTTGTGTTTCTCTTATCATTAGCTTTATTTTGATCTTTGATTTATGATCATACGATTCTTGAGTTATAATCAGTTTATTGATTACTTTGGTTTGTATAAAAACCCAGTGTGTTTGTAAATAATGATTGATATTGCCGAGGCTGTTATTTGTGTTCTGGACTCAACTGGCTGGGCTAGGCAGTTAGGAAGGACCGAACAGCAACCCAATACTGCTCGTACGTATTTTCTGTATCATTGCACGTTTCATATACAATAACAATTGTTATACAAGTCATAACAGTGGCGACGGGGATTTTGGTACGCAAAAGAAAAAAGTATACAGTTTTCGACGGGGATTCTGGAAAAAAATACAGCACTCAATACTGCTCGTACGATTTCAATCATCATTTGCGTCCGATCAGTAAAATCCACTCCTCTTTAAATTGGCGTTCATATAAATTACGGGCCCATACGATATAACAACTGACGACAGGTAAAAAAATGGCTTTAACTTCCGATCAATTTCAGTTGCTAATTCAGAGACAAGAGCAGCGTTTTAAAAAGAGTCAGTTGGATTTCATTGACAAGTTACACGCGACGCTGCTGAATCACCCATGCTTTGGGGGTGCAACGGAAGTTGACGCATTGATTTCTAAATTGCGTACAGAACTGGAAGTCGATTGCAGAACAAATGAATATACCAGTGAAAGCCTCAATGAATCCATGACAAACAGTAAATTAAACGAAGCAATAACAGTCCTACATGATCAGCCCAGTAGTCCGGTGCTGCCTGTTTCAGAGACATGCCCTATACACGGTCCAAGTCCTATTAACCCCGAAAACGGACGTGCAAACAGTGGATCAACCTGTTTACAGAAAGACAATGTTTTGCTAAATGCTCATAAAATTACTGTAGTACCCGCCCACGAAGAAACGGGGAACAAATCGGGCAGTATATTGAATACAGTGGCGCCAAATCAAACCAGTCATGATGCAAAAAAGTTTTTTTATGAATCTAATGATCAAGATTATCTAATTGTTCTGCCAGATCCCGATTATTTTGCTGATTCATATGTTCCAGTTCAAATCTCTTATAAAAATGGGAGAAAAATATCGGATGCATTAAATGATAATCAAGAATCCAATACAAATTTCATAGATACTGATTATCCTAATGATTCATTATCTACTAATGAGGTTCCGAGTAAATTCAAGGAAAGTGTTTCAAAAGAATCAGACGCCGGTGACCTCAAATCGAATGTCGTCGATCCTCACGATATAATCAGTTCTGGTGGATTCTCTGTTAAATACGACGAATATGTTTTAAATAATGTCACAATAACGGTAACTTGGGTACATGAGGATCCAACAATCTTTCGTGGGGGAGGGTGAATTCGAGAAATTTAAAATCCGGATGTCAACTCCGGATTTCTCAAAAAGGGGAGGTGTTATATCCCCTGGTGAATTATGAATCGTAAATCTGAGGTCTATTATCGACCAATGTATTATGCCTATTTCTTATTGTACAGTTGTTACGTAACTAAATTATTCATATTTGTGTTTCTCTTATCATTAGCTTTATTTTGATCTTTGATTTATGATCATACGATTCTTGAGTTATAATCAGTTTATTGATTACTTTGGTTTGTATAAAAACCCAGTGTGTTTGTAAATAATGATTGATATTGCCGAGGCTGTTATTTGTGTTCTGGACTCAACTGGCTGGGCTAGGCAGTTAGGAAGGACCGAACAGCACCCAAGACTGCTCAGGGCATACGTTGTAACAGATATCCTTCTTTGATTCTGAGACCATCGAGTTAGCGATTTCAAGATGAGACATGGAGTACTAGGTAATGACTGTAAATCGATTGACGAAGTGGTGAATTTTTATCGATTGAGATGGTTGCTGGATGTGTTGCATTTCACATCCACCGACCACGTCGACACGCGATGATGTCTGATGTAGTAGGTTTAAAAAAATCTAAGATCAGCCAAACCAGGACATAGCATCTGTCCGTGAAAACACTGACTACTGTAATTGGTCGTATGTGTAGATGTAGACTAACTGGTTGGGGTCTGCACGATTATTGTAATCGGTTATAAACTGTGGGTGACATGGCCCAGAATCACTCTCAACGACGCAGGTGGATTCACTCTTTGTTTTCATTTTAAATCTTAATCCTTAATTCTTATACTTTTTTTCTTGTTTACCTAATATTTTCTGCTACTAATATTATTAATATTCTTATTACATCTACCACCCTGCGATTTGTATCGAAACAAAAATAAGATATGACAACGTGAACCCATCCAGATATGTGTGAAGTTCTATGCTATGTATGACAAACTAAGTGACTAAAGTTTCTAAAACTTCCTTGTCCATGTTACTTGTTATTTTCTTACAGAAACCATTAGTAAATAACTTTAATTATAATATATGTAATCGCTGTCATTTATTTATTCGTTTATGTCATTTCATATCCAACAGGTGCATTAATCTATCGTCTCACTGGTCTCGACTTAGAATTTCCATTAATTTCGGATATCTGCTTTCAATATCCTAAAATGTTGGATATTATATTAAGTTGTCTGAATAGTAATTATCAAAATTTATCGTCTACGCAAACTTTAATTCCAATACTTACTTTAATTGTTAGATTTTCTCCATCATTTGATCATTCGTTGATAGTGTAAGTATTTGTTTTAATTAATTAATTGTAAATTTATCTACTTTTTTTACAGCTAAGTATTGAAATACAAGTTTGTATGTATACGTACTTAACATTGATACACAGTTTTTTTGTGTATTTATGAAAATCAGAAATTTTCCTAGATTGTTTTAAGAAAATTAGATGAAACTGCGTATCCCAATCTGAAACTGAATTAGCTCAAAGTTCAATGCATAAATTTTGAAACCAGGAAAATTTTACACGGTTTTTAAAAATAGTTGTATTTATGAGTCGATTAAAGCTAAACCATCATTGAAAACCTGAAAGCACTGGACGACCGTTTCTTCTTAGTATGGGACTCTTCAGCAGTGCGCATCCACGATCCAGCAAGCGGACTCGAACCCAACCTTGCTCGCGAGCACTTAGCCTCTAAACCTCTGAGCCGGCCGGCATCTAACGGTGTTAATGTCTAACTTGATTCGGTGGACGATATTGCGTAACCGTTCACCAATGTCTTCAGTAAGTAACTGCCTCACAACGGACACACTTATAGAGGTAATAAGTGCTATATTGTTTATGAAATGGTTTTCTGTTATTAGTTTAACGGCTTTGGTTGAATGGATTTAATTTGTTCATGTAACTGATCCTTTAATTTCACAAGATGGAAATATACTAGCTGTTTAACTATGTCAGTACTTTGTTAATATGGAAAATTTTCAGTCATGATATTGTGACTAAGGTATTTACCAGGTGATGAAACATTTAATGCAATATGATAATTGTGATCACAAAGCAACTAATGATCTCTCACTTCGATTTCTCATATTGATCACCGTGTTCTGATGTTTGGTCATTCAACCATTCGAGATTGAAGTTATCAATAAATAGCAGCTGTATACAATTCCAGATGACGCGTCCAGAAATCAGAATGAATACCTGTTGATTTTTACTTACTGTCTACTATCAAATAAGAGTTTATGTGAAATGTGTGGCTTCAGCATCAAAATGCATGTTAAGTCAGCAATGAAAATCAGTTTAAACGGAAAACGTCTATACCTGGGAGTAAAATACAATATATATATATATATATATATATATATATATATATATGTATATACCATTGAAGCTGTTATAAACACCATCCTTATTCATACCAAATTTAAGATATCAAGGTTAATTACTACTGATATTTATCCTAAAAATACGCAATAGGTTGACAGATTTTTACTTTGTTTTTAGGTAAATCCATTAGCTTTTGTCTTATTGTATGTTGTCATAATTATGGAAGACCAATTTGCTAGTGTTTAACAACTTTTATTTTATGGGGTTGTGGAAATTGTTGAATTTCAATGAAATCATTAACGGATGTAAGTTAGGCCACTATTGAAAACCTGGAAGCACTAGATTGTCGAATGCTTCGAATTTCTCAGTGATAGTTTAACTTAGATCGGTCCATGAAACAACTAGTTTTGCTTATTTAAATCTTGGAATATATATGATTATATTAGTCTTGAATATCTCCTTAACGGGTAATTTCAACTTCTCTACTTAATCATAGGTATGTGAATTATTGTTGCTCTAGTATGTAAACACTCGTTCTTATTGTTTATACTTCAAACAAACCATTATCTCTATTCTGTTTTTCTACTTTTTTTGCTACCGGTAAATTCTTATATGTATTCGTTATTATAGAATAATCACTGTCACTAAAGAAAATTTTTTTTTTCTAAAATAGGTCATCAAAAATTGATGAAATTCTCAATAGACTAGAATATATTCTTTTCAATCATTGTAGTATGCATATTCGTAAACTTGCTTCAAAAGCATATCATGTATTTCTATGCCCACCAATTGATGCATACTATCGATGTGAATCAATAAAATGTTCACAAGATAAACAATCTTCACTTTGTATTATATCAAGCATTGGACCATTAAAATTAATTTGTCATTCATGTTCATTACATAACTCTAATAAGAACATTTTATATAATTCTATAACAAATGCAGTACATGGTAATTTATGCTTATTACAATCATGGTATGAAAATAAAACTTGTGAAATTATTCAACATTGGAGAGAATCGTAAGTTGATGGTAATTTTGTTTTGTTAGCTGTCGTTTTAAGTTAAATTTATTTTCATAGTTGAAATCATGAGTCAATTGAAGCTAGACCAACATGGAAAACCTGGAAGCACTGGACGGCCCTTTCATCCTATTATGGGACTCCTCAGCAGTGCGCATCCACGATCCCACACCCGCGAGATTCGAACCCAGGACCTACTAGCTTCCCGCCGGAGCACTTAACCGATTTATTTTACTTTTTAATTATCATCCAATTATTTAATGTTGATTAATACTGTCGTACATTATGTATCATAGTTATTTAGTCCAGTAATAGAAATCTGAGACTATTCAGTTGTTTGGTATATATGATTTTTCCAAAAAACTCGTCCTTCAATTCATTTTTGATGTTTAAACCATAATATTCATTCCTTCCTCTCCTACTAATGATACACTTCAGTTAATTGACGATTTTCTTTTCTCCAACTGTCATTATCTTTTCTGCTTGGACTACTCGCCATAGTTAATAATAGTTTACAACTATTATTTAATGATTCAATATATTAGAAGAATATATACCATACTTTCTCTTAATATTGAATACAAGTAGTTTGGAACAATACATGTTTATTCTGTACCTCAACTATAAAACTAACAGGATAATGTAAAGTTAGACTTGTTAAAAGACAGTTAACAATCAAAGTTACTTCTCTCAATCTATTTTTAACTTTTTTCAATTCAATAGTCGGATAGTGTTATTGGTATTCAATTGATATTCATGATCAAATCATACCGTGTTATCAATTCATAAAACTACTGAATTTTAATCTGTCTTAGGAAAAGAATTTATCAACTTTTTGGCTATAGTTTATTAAATATAAAATTGATGGTTTTAGATTTTAATTTTTGAATTATTCAAAGTTGATGACGGTTGCGTAGAATTACCTTAAAAACTAATGTATCTAGTTGTTTATATGTAATTGTCTTTATTAGTTTCTCATGTATTTTTCCCCTTATTTTCCTAGATTTATTTATGTTAGTAGGCTTTTCCTTTGTTACTTTTTTCTTGTCACTCTTCTCTTATCGGTTTAATTACTTAAAAAAGCTTCAGCTTTGACCTTCATTTATTTAGTAGTTACAAGATCTAAGATTGTTTTTGTCTATGTTTACCTGTCAAGCCTTACAAAATATATGCTAGTTTTCTCTCTCTCGATAGGACTAAAGGTTTTAAACTATTTGACTTGTCCAGCATTTTGTTAATAACTATTATGGTCGTTGTACATGATTATGATGACACTCAACCTGAGCTATATTCTCTGGAACACTTGTTTTTTAAAGTTCTGTCTTGCTGATCACGTCAATTAGATAGCGGTAAGACCAAAAACTGTTGATTTACGATCCTGGGCTGAAGTCCTACTCTCTTTTGTATTATAGTGTAATGACACTAAGGTGCTTCTGATGGATATCCAGAATTTCTAGAAGTGAAGTTTTCAACCTCATTTGGTTTGCCCAACTTGGTAGTGTAATGTACCATAGAACGACAAGTTTCTGAAAGCGCAATATTCTACTGGTTAACTAACGTAACATATGTTTCACATAGAAAAATTACGCTCAACTATTTACAGAGTAGTTTATTATTTTTCGTATATCTAACTGATGATTCTCTCTCTCATTCTATTATAATGTTGTTTTAAAAATAATGTTTAATCTTTTTATTCTCTCTTTTCATCTGATATTTATTAATCCCAATAGATTATTCAACATAAAATCGGCATTGAATTATCTTCTTCACTGGATATCTATTTCTGCTTGGTATCTTGCTTATGAATTATGTATTCTGATGAATTCTGTTTATACAAATCATACAACGATTCACTGTGAAGAGGATTATCTAACGGAACTGTGGACAGCATTACTCACTTTAAGAAAACCAATATTTTCTTTGTCTAATGAGGTATATCTTTGTCACTTATTTTTTCTATTATTAATATAAAAAAACGTTTAGTATACAATTTGTAATTTACGTATAACGTATTATGCTGAACTAAATGACTGGAATACGCACCCCAGTATCATTTATATGTATCTTCATATCTTTCAATGAATAGAGAAAGATAGAGCTGGTTGAAGTAGTGAATAGTTATTTCAAATAATATCAACCAGTATTTTTTTCGTTCAACTAAGTTCTCTGAAAGACTTTAAACAAAACCGTTTTTAGTAGTTTTATCATCTTCATGACAGAATTAAGAAGTTCTTATCAAGCATTTTTGTCAGTAATTCATTTTCTTACTGTTTAGTTGTATTTATCTGCCTCTACAATTGTAATCAAACACTAAAAGGTAAGTTAGGTGAGATACATAACATTTGATGGAAGTGTTTTAAGGGAATAAGTTGATGTGATACAACTCGAAATGAGTAATTTATTAAATATTATTTCTTTATTAATAACTACTATATACTTCATCTGTTCTGTAATACTGTACTATTAACATCAAGAATATTTGTATTAAGTTAGGATTTATCAATGTGTCACGACAATTTTACATGTAGTTTTAGACGTTTTGAAGTTTAATTGAATGTAATATAACCTGATGGAGCTGAAACCAATGCAAGGGAAAGAAGATTTTGTTGCATAAGTCGAAATGAGAAAAGTTAATTCTTGGTTTACTTTCAATAGAAGATATGTAATTTTCCAAACGGTTATCTTTCGACATGCAGTATTATTATCTTCATCATCTTTCTGATTGTTTCATGTTGATTTCTTTCAGCCATTTCATATTGAATTTTTAATTGAATTTCGTCATATTTGTATAAAATTATTTAATAAAAATTTATCCAACTATATGATTATTCATTATGCTGAAACTGAACCAATCCTACTTTTACGTTTTCTCAATCTATTAAAAATGAATTCTAATTTCTCTGATGAGTTTACTTTGAAATTAATTGGTTATTGGATAAATTGGCGATCGTTAACATATGATGTTGATCATGATGATCATGATCATCACCCTGATAATCAGTGTGTGAATAATTTCTTGGAATATATCTATCCACATGTTATGTGGTGTTTTCTAGAATTTTTCAATTTGTCATGTAATACTATTTGTTTTATGCAAAGAGTTCAAAAAGAATTCAATGTCGAAACTTTATTATCACGAGTATCGAATTTATGCCTAATGAATAAGAATATTTCTGGTATTCAATTTTGTATTCATCGTTCGCGATTATTATATTTTATGACATGTTTACTCAATTGTCTATCACCATTAACATCACTGAATTATTCATTGTAAGTTTAACATTTTGTGCCATTTATTATGTATAACGTATTCGAAAATTTTATCGAAATCATGAACGGGTGTAAGTTAGACCATCACTGAAAACTTGGAATCACTGGATTACCGTCTGGTATGGAACCCTTGAGGTTAGACATCAACACTGTTAGATGCCTGTACAATAGTCTAGAGTTTAAGTGTTCGCCTGAGAGACTAAAGACGTTTGGTTCTATTTTGGGTTTCGGGATCGTAGATATGGATTACTGAGGAGTCCGATTTTAGAATTAAACGACTGTCGAATGCTTCGAATTTCTCAGTGTTGGTTTAACCGAGATCGGCTTATGATTTCAATAAAATTCATTAATTTTCACAGCTTAATGCTGATTATTTAGAAATGTATCAGTATAAAACTATTTGAAAGACTATGAGGTAAATAAATATTGTATTTACAAAGGAATGTTCGTATTGATTGTTTATTTATTTAAGCAATTTGTATTCTAGAGTTAATTATAGACAGCGTCCCCTTTTAAAATCATCATCAGGTTGATATACATAGAAATGTTACATATCAAGGACATATATATATATATATATATATATATATATATATATATATATATATATATATATACAAAGGTAAGTTGTTTGAAAAGATATATATCAGAAGTTGTTTCGAAGCGACATTTATCGTAGGGATTAAAATAGTGGGAAGCAGCAGTTAGGAACTTATTTCCGTATTGGTGAGGGTGACTAAGACGTCATGTTGTGTATTGTATCTGATAGCGATTCTAGTAATGTTACTGGGTAAGATCTACAACTAAAAAGAAGAAAATAAAATAGACACCACAGAATAACACCAACGAAAGTTAATGTGATAGGTCTGTCCTTAAATATATTCTTGATTGTTTTGTAACGTACTAATTTGAATAGATTTTATATAAATTGTATCAAATTAACTAGGGGTAGCGTATGGGTAAAATATCAGCTAGAATGAAAGTTGAGTTATTATACTTAGTAATGAAAATTGTCACATATTTAATCCACATATAATTTCAATAGTAAAGTGAGATATAGTCACTAATATTAGAATTTTTAATTCAGTGTCATTGGAGAGGTAGTCATCAATGTAGCGTACAAACAATGGTTGTGATTTAGTTTAATAGCTAAATTATGGCGAACTGTTCTAGTGCATCTGCATTTGTAATTTAAAGTTCAATGATTCTCAAGAATATAATGTATAAAGCGCTACTGAACAAGTCCCTACCTATGTTCATCTTTAATGTGAACACTATTCAGAATCAAAGGATAATATTTTAGAAGTGATCGGGCATACCCTGTACACTAAAATACATAAGTCATAGTTGTGGAGATTAGATTAGTTTACAACCCAGAAGTTGAAGAGATTTAAAAGTGTGCATTAAAACCTGCTCTGTAAAGGGCAGGTCATGGGAAGATCTAGGACTTGAATCTACCACTGTATATTTTTATGGTTTGCTAGCTAATATCAATACAGGAAAAAGTGTGTTGGAATCTGTATTTTTGTTTCAAATTTGCAAGTGAACATCTCTGCTTATTAATATTAAGTAATCGTAATCATTTTTTTTTTGAGATGAAATTCATTATAGAATTACTTTATTTGATTTGGTTTTGCTATTCAAGTTACTAAAACCCATTATGTATAAACACATATATCATAAAATTTGCATTTGGTATTTTAAGGATGATATATTTCGGATTCTACTCATGCAATATAACCATTTCTTTTCCCGTTCATATTTTCATTCTATCTGTCACTTGTTGAATGTGATACCTTTGTTAAATAAAAAAAATTATTTACTAGAGGACAAATGATAATAAAAAAATATGATTGAAGAAGATCGTTGAAATTATTATAAAACTATGGGTTAATTATTATATATTCAAGTTTTATTTCAAATAAATTAACATATTTCCCGTTCACTTTTTCAACCCAAATATTTGTGTAAAAATTCTTTTAGGGATTTGTAAAGAGCTTGGGTTTTATTTGTGTGTTTCTTTACATGGATCCGTATTTATTGAAATGCAACTGATGTGATGTTAGAGGTCGAAAATCTCATTTGTTATTGTGATATCCGTGTATGTATTTAAAGTTATTCTTTTTTAAAAGTGACCATCTGTAAGGACGGCTCGTTGGTAAACTCTAGGAAGCCTCAAGAAGCCCAGAAAGAGCCGAAGATATTCCATCCGATCACTGCTAGGAGAATATTCTAGTTGTCGATGTGTAGCTTCCGCATTGGATGGATAAGAATGACCCCTATGTGCCTATTGGTTGTTCGAAATGATTTACTCTCAGTCAAAAACTATAAATACATGAGATTTCTGTGCTATATTTTGACACTGATTTGGGGAATACAGTTCGTACTTACTAGTCTTCGGTCTTCTCTCTTGCGACGTTGTGGGTTCGATCGTTCAAGTAGTCTAGTAGTATGCGGCATAGTAAGAACCAAAGTACTAGATATAACACAATCAGAACGTCATATATAAAAATTAATGTATTAATCCATAGAAAATTAAGCATACAATAAGCAGTGATAGAATGATAATGAATTGAAAAAAGGAGTTATATAAAATAGACATTAGTTTCACGCTGAAACATTCAAGGGTAGTCTAGAAAGTAACCTTATAGTTGGTTTCACTTTTAAGCCATATTTAAGAACTACTGTATTTTACTAACGGAGTTGTCTTCTGAAGTAAGGATCAATTGAAAAAGGAGATAGTGAGTTTCGACTATTGATCCAAACAGTATATAAAGCTGAAAGTATTCTGACCAAAGTCTACGAGATAATCAGAATATTAGCGATCAGAAACTTGAAGTGATGTAATTTAGACCTTTCATCTTTTTTATTCTTACTCAGTTTGCTCTTACCCTTGTTATCGGTGGTTTCATTTTTCAATCTCTCTGTTTTAGACTTCTATCTACTATTGTTATGTGAATTTCAATAACTTGAATCGATTTTCTATAATATCAATTTGAGTATTGTCGTTCCCTTTCTATCATATCTTGAAATAGTCCAATTGATCGTACTTAAGATATTTTAGCGAATCATAATTATCCTTTTTTTGTAACATTGTTGTATGCATATTTTATTTCATGAAGTGGAGTCAGTTGCAGGATTATCAGTAAGCAGAAAGCATCAGACAACTTTTCAACTAAGTTTCTAACTCCTCATATTTGTATATCAGTAACCCAAGTCATTTATGTCTTTCTGTTGAGAATGATACTTTCATATCATCTAGGAATTCATACTTTCGATTTCAATTGGTCTACTTGAGCAAATAAGTAGAGGTTTTAACTGACAACTTTCCGGAAAAAAGTTAAGAAGATAGATAGACGTTAGCGCAAATAAAAAGTATAGAGATCCGTAAACAAATGAGTTGTTTCTTCTCAGTTTGTTTCTCTTCAAAACGCCACGTACATGTTGTTATACTGGACCCAATTCAAACACGATTGATCTTGTGTTGTGAAGCCGAAATCTAGTGGTCCGCGTTCCATTATTCAATCAGTTTGAAGTATGACGTAATCTTCATTTACTATCAGTTATGAGCTACCTTTTCACTATCGACTTGTTGATTTTGTAGGTCGTAGCTTTCGATTAGAGTTATAGTAATCCGCTTTAAAGCTAGTAGCTGTTAAATAAATAATTACTATTAATCAACTATATTGTTCTAGTATAAAGTTTTCATGTATTGATATTAATTTTTATGATAAACTGAGAATGAATAGTCTTTCATTGTACTTCTTTTAAAATAAATTCTCAATTTTTCCATATTCATTGATGACAGTTATATGAATCAGTGGCTTAGTTTACTAAGTGATTGCTTACAATATGAACATTCAACTGAATCGCGAATTTCAGCTTCAAAATCTTTACAATTATGGACATTGCAATTTCATCCAAATAATCATACAAAATCACCGTCAATATCAAATCAGATTGATTTAATGAAATCAGTTTTAAATATATCACAACGTAAAAGGTATAATTGTTGTGCACGTATTTTCCGTATACAAATTTATGGTTTAGTTTTTGATTAAAAGAAAAATTATTTTGTGGTTTATTTCTTTTTTAAAAAGCAAGTGTAGGCAGTTGATGATTTCATCTCTTTTCATGCCAATTAAATGAAATTTTATTGAAACTAAATTAGGACTAGAGATGGATAGTAGCTGGTAGTGAAGATGGGAACGCGCGTTTCGTCGTCTTTGGGACTCATCAGCTGGATGTACCTGCCACATCCCAGAGTTGATTTTACTCCGAGACTCGAATATGGTATCGTTTGCCCCAAATATCATCGCGTTATCCACTAACAAGCTACTGAGTCCAGAATGCCATTAGCTTGTGCCGTGGGTTAAAGTTTCATTCATTTTTGTATTGATTATTTAAATCTTCCCATTTATGTTTAGAACTGAAATCGATTAATCTTTTCAAACAATCAATACAAAAATGAATCAAATTAGATGAATAAAAAATATTTTTGCGCTTTCTTATATTGCATGAAAAAGAGGGATATCAATATATGTATCCGGCTACGTAACTATAACTGATAGGGACCAACAAAAAATAGAGGAGTACAAGATGAAATAATTTTTCATAGTTTAATTAATGAATAAAATTATAATTTATTTGTTTAGGTCTTCATCTTTTCATAACACCAGTTTAGACTTTTGATCAACTATTCAAATTAAGATAATTCAAAGTTTCCTCGCAACTAGTATAGCTTATATTACACAAATATTAGGTGGCTGGACTTAGTCGATAGGATAGTTGGGACTCAGGATTCATGGTAGTTTACACTCATCAACAAGAGTTGCCTACAATTTTAAACTAGCCAATACTCCTTGTATGATTTATTCGTACATCACTCAGCTTCACAATTAGAGCTGTTACCACTGGCAACGAGTGATCCTCCATAGGATTTAGATATTTACATTTTATTGGTCACTAGTCAGTCAGTCAGTCACGACGTAGAACTTCGTACGTACGTACATCAGTTCGAGTTGCCATACCACATTAGCACAGAGATGCAGTTGTCGATTCAAATCCCATAGTGGTAGAAGTAGTAGGAGTATAATCAGAAATCCAAAAGATTAGGGTTTGAAGAAATTATTGAAGGAGTATAGTACAGTGAAATAAATTTGGAAAGAGAAAAAGATAAAGACATGAGGAATTCAGAAGATTAGAATTTCGTAGAACACAAAGAGTGGATGCATCTTCGCCATTGCAAACGATTTTGAGCCATGTCATTCAAGGTCTCTAACCATCGGTTGCTGTCATCACGCGAATCCCAACCAGGTAGTCTACACCTACCAACATGGCCCAGTCCACTTGTCAGTGACTTCATTGATTCTTGCCACGTTTTGGTCTGGCCACCCCTAGCTTTCTTCCAACCTACTCCTACACCATGAAACATTGCACGTCGGGGCAGTCGGTGGTCGGGCATACGTAACACATGTCCCAGCCATCTCAACTGATGAAGTTTCACTACTTCATCAATCGATTTGCCATCCCTACCTAGTACTCGTTTCCTAACAACTGCATTACTTACCCGGTGGTCCCAGGATATACGAACAATGCTTCGAAGACACCTATGATCGAACACTAGTAGCCTACGAATATCCTCTACTCTCACCGGGCATGTTTCACTGCCATAAAGTAGGACGGAGCGAACTGCTGCACAGTAAACCCGTCCTTTGGTTGCTAGACGGATATCTCGCCTACTCCATAAATGACGCAAGTTGGCGAAAGCTAGACGAGCCTTCTGTATCCGTGCTGAGATTTCGTCACATACCAGACCACAAGGGCTGATGAGACTCCCAAGATAAGTGAAGTGGTCTACACGCTCAACTACTTCACTCCCTATCATTAGTTCAGGTGTCGATGCAACCCAATCCTGAAGTAACATTTTGCACTTCGAGGGAGAGAATCGCATCCCGAGCATGCCTGCATTGTTGCTTATAGTGGTCAGAAGACTCTGCATTTTGTCAGCGTCTTCACCGAGTAAAACTATGTCGTCGGCGTATTCTAAGTCAACAAGTGAGCCTCCCGGTAAAGTTCAACTCCTGGAGGTTTAGCTGATGAAAGTGCTATCTCTAAAAGTATGTCAATGACAAAGTTAAACAAGAATGGGGAGAGTGGACAGCCCTGACGAACGCCACTTGTGGTAATCAGTTCTGATGACAGTTCACCTTAGGCTCTAACTCGACCAGTTGTGTTCGAGTAGAGAGCCTTTATGAGGTTAATGTACTTCTTTGGTACTCCTTTCAGTGACAAACATTGCCATAGAACCTCACGATCAACGGAGTCAAATGCCGCCTTAAGGTCAAGAAATACTACTATTGTGGGACGTCTGAATTTGTGTCTATGTTCTAGAACCTGACGTAGGGTGAATATCTGGTCTATGCAACCACGTCCAGGTCGAAAACCAGCCTGGTTTTCTCTAGTCTGCTCTTCACGAGCTTTGGTCAGGAGACCTAATATTATTGAAGCTAATATTTTAGACACTATATTAGTCAAACTGATCCCTCTGTGATTGTCACAAGAGGACTTTTGTCCTTTCTTATAGACTGGCACAATCAGTGATTGGGACCAGTCAGATGGAATTACGTCCAGTTCCCAGATTCTACCTAAGACCTCAGTCAGTCTCACTGCTAGTACTGGACCACCATCCTTAAAAATCTCAGGGGCCAACCTGTCAGGGCCTGCTGCTCTCCCTCGCTTCAGATTTCCTATAGCTTTTTCAACCTCACAGAGGGTTGGAGGACTTACATCAATTTGCCATTCAGGACGACTGGGGATCGTGGGTAATTGAAGTGTGGCTGAAGGCCAGTTTAACTGATCCCTAAAGTGTTCTGCCCATCGATCCAATCTCCTGGATTGAGAATGAATAATATGCCCATCTTTATCTGAGATGGTTTCACTGATATTCGGGTTCCTAATACCGGTTTCTTTAACGAGTCTGAATAGCTGCCTACTGTTACCTATTGCCGCTGCCTTTTGCATCTCTCTTGCTTTCGCTACCCACCACTGTTCACGATCATCACGTAGGCTTCTTATAAGCCTGCGCTTAAGTTGACTCCGCTCTTCGTTATGCTCAGAGCCAGGTGGGATGAGTTTACGAGCATCTATCAGTGCGGTAGATGCTGCCGAGATCCATTGTTTCTCCCTAACCTTATGGTTTACCTTACTAGCGGATATCACTGCTGTTTCCACAGCTTTTCGGATGTCATTGCACGCTGCCTCGGGGTGGACACAACTTACATGGCTGCCTAACTGTTTTTCTAGTTGTTCCTGAAATATATTCTTAGCTTGCTTATCATTAAGTAGAACCCTTAGAGGCTTCCCTGCAGTGTCTTTCCTACGACCAGTAAGACGCAGACAGATACGTGCTCGCACTAGAGCATGATCTGAATCTAAACATGTGCCCCAGAATGAGCGACAGTCTTCCATCGAGCCCCTCCATCGGTGGCTGATAGCGATGTGATCTAATTGGGTCCAACGTTGGGTCGAATTCGGGGGTCGCCATGTCAAAAGATGTTTTTCCTTTTGCTTGAAGTTAGTATTTGCAAGAATTAGGCGGTTATCTGAGCACAGTTGCAACAGACGGTCGCCATTATCTGTTCTTTTCGCCATGACACCATAAGATCCACCCAGGTGTCTTTCCCTTTCACTTAGTTTACCTACTTGAGCATTAAAGTCACCTGCTACTATTACTACATCAGAACGCCTAGCTTCTCGGAGAAGGTCAGAAAGTTTCCTGTAGAACTCATCTTTTATATCGTCTGAGCTGCAGTCAGTGGGAGAGTAGGCAGAGACGACGAAGAGGCAACGACGAGTTTCCCTATCTTTCCGGGTCCTTACTGATCCGTTTAGTCTGACAGCGCGTAGACGACTGTCTACTGGGATCCAGTCTAAAAGAGCTAGTTCTGCCCCAGGACTTAATGCTATACCTACTCCAGCGAGGCCACGGGAAGCAGCGTCAGGGCTTCCAGATACACGAAGCGTGTATCGAGATGAAACTTTAATTTGATTAGGCGCGGTCAAATGAATGACACTACTCGGATCTTGTATGCGCGTTTCGAAGACGCAGCACACATCGATGGTTTAAAATTCTAGAGTCCTAGCTAAGGAAGCCTGTTGTCCTATTTGGCACAATGTTCGGACATTAAAAGTTCCTATATGTAGTTTAGAGCGTGGTTTCAGGAGACCAGGAATAACGTTCTGTGTACTCGAATCGTTTGCCCTAGCGGTGCGAGGTGATAAAAGGACGTGGGAAGGGTTAGTCGTGGAGATAACAGAGTTATTAGGTGTAGGAAGAATTTGAAAGCGACCAACTTGGTCTTGTGTGCAGTTAAGGGTATGAGGGCTAGTATCACTTCCCGGCTGCCCACACCGTGGAAGGGTATTTCTTGAGGGACCTGAAAAAGAAGTTGGATTAGTGTTGGTCTTAATGACCTGGGAGCGTGACCGCAGTGCCCAAGGGACATCTGCTTGAGGCCGGTCACGCACGGCCTTTTTGTGGGGGATTTTTGACGTGTTAGCTCCGTTCTTCAAAAGTCCTTACCGCCGGAGACGGAAATCCGTGGGATAAGGCGAGGTGTGCATTTTTAGGGTCGACCTTTTCTAACCCCACCCCTCCTTGTGGGAAGGCAGCATCGCTGTCATGCTGGTTGTCTGAAGGAAACACCTTACTGCTTTCACACCTCTGTACAGTCAGCAGTACGACTACGCCTTCGGACCTCGGGATTGCTGCTTTTAGTCTCACCGCTCTTCAACCGACCTGTCTGGCATGGTAGGACCTTGAGGAACGATTGTTCCAGCCAGCGTAGCTCGATTGGATCATCACGATAGGCAAGCCCGACCACCACGTCAAGGTAGCAGCAACGGTCGATCACTAAGTAATGACCAATTCCGTGTTTGTTCAGTCTGGTGATGCTTACTGAATTCTGTCGGTCAAGCTATTGTGTGTGCACTAACCTGAGTGATTTGACATTGTGTACACTATATTTCGATTCCAGATAGTTGTAGGTAATTGGTAAGAAACACTTGACCTAGGTTTCGTGCCATTTGTTACTCATCAACAAAGATTACATACAATTTTAAAGGAATCATTGTTCTTTGTGGTACTTGAATTCGCGTCACTTAGCAGTTTGTTTAGTATTGTGTGATTAGTACAGTGAAATAGGCAAACATCAAATTGCCCAGTACTAAGTGATCAATCAATGTAAGTATATTGGAAATATTTTGATAATCATACGATTGATTGGGTTTTCGGTTGTGTATTTGTTTACAAATCTTACAGTGGTTTAATATCTCTCAGTATTGCATCTTATTTATTTAATTGTAATCTGCATATCTTTCCCGATTACATTGTATTTTGTTTGTTTTGTTTTTTCTTTCAACAAAAATAGATTGTTGGATTGTATATTTCATGGTTTATTTGATGAATCACCTGAAGTTCGTTCAATCCTGAGTACTGTTATCAATTTTTGGTTAAAATCATCCATAAATCAAACGAATTCTTTACATTTTAACCATGCGAATACTCATTTAATCACTTTACATAAACTATTGAAACAGGTTGTTCCATTGTTATTGTTAAATGAAAACAGCGATGAAGACAAGAACATCAATAGTAATAATACTGATAATAAAATGCATTCAAGTGATAATCTGACATCCAATGAATCTACATATTGGTTATGCAATAACTGGTTAACTATTATGAAATCAATGAATTGTCTAATGATTGATGAATATGAATCAAGTCAACGGTGCGTTGATTCACTGTTTATATATATAGGTTTTACTTAGACAATTATCATTAGAAGTCTTTCATGATACAACTAGGTCCTTGACAAATTTATAGTTAACATCTATTTCATTTATTCCTTTGATACAGTAATTCAATCACAACGTAGAACTTCGTACGTACATACGTACGTACATCAGTTCGAGTTGCCATACCACATTAGCACAGATGCAGTTGTTGATTCCAATCCCACAGTGGTAGAAGTAGTAAGAGTATAAACAATAATGTATCAAAGGAATAAAAATTAAATCTGGTTCAGCTGAACACGAGAAATAGAATTTACTTTATAAGTAATAAGATTATATTATCATGTAATAAATGGCGGAAAAGAGAGTACAACTAAAATCGTAAATTTATTAAAATAATTGGACAAAAACGATATATAAGAAGGGATACAATCCAGTTAACAATACAATCAACAAAATCTTCTTTGAGTTATAGGTGTTCCTTTCATTTTTACAAAAAAAATGTAAAGGAAAATTACACCAGTATCTTAATAGACTACTTTTATTCTGAACCATATTTAAGTGCTTATTAGCTGAATTGTTTATGTTAATGTGTTAGCATTGACCGAATCATTTGATGTAGATTGTGGGCTTCACGCACATTTAAACCAAAAAGTGTGGTTTACGATGCATCCATAACATCATAATCAAGCTGTTTTGTTTTAAACAATTTCTCTTAATAAAATAAATCTTTTAAGAAATTGTAAGGATGGCTCGTTGGCAATCTCAAGAAGCCCAGAAAAAACCGAAGACATTCCATCCAATCACCACTAGGGGAACACTCTAGAATGTCGACGTGTAGCCTCCCTATTGGATGAATAAGAATGACTCCCTATGTGCCTATTGCCTGTCCGAAATGATGATTTACTTTCAGCCAAAAAACTATAAATACATGAGATTTTTGTACTATATTAGACACTGTTTTGGGAATAACATTCCTACTTACTAGTCTTCTGTCTAACTTTTAATCCTGTGACTCCATTACCAAATAATGTGTCTTTTAAATTTCACGAAATTTTTAACTAGATCTCTTATCCACATGAATAAGCTTCCGATCGATAATATTAAATTTGTTAAGTATAACAGGCGTATCATGTAGATTATTTAATTAACCACAATATAAATCGTATCGAATGTCAATTCGTGTATCACAGCATTTCAGTTACAAATCGTATAGTTGAGTGATAAATTCTAAGACTATAAATTTGCATGATGCAGTATAAATTTCTCGAGGAGCATCATTTCTTAAGTGACGAGTTCCGAAGAGCACAAAACTCAAGTTCATGGTACTCTGTTGACATCTCCGAGTCACACAACATACCACAAAAGTTGAGCCATATTAAGAGTGTTGAGAGGTTTTTTTTTGAAATTTTCGAATAAAAGGAAAATCTAATATTTCAAGGTATTCATCCTTGCAGCTACCATTTTAATATAAGTTTTAGTAGTTAAAGTATATCAAGATAATATTATTATTGCTATAATTGCCACACATTTTCATCAACTAGGTCTCAAAATGGATTAATCATGCATCACGTAAACTGGCTTTTATATATATCTTTACTAAGATTAATTTCTTGTTACCTGACTCAACAAGAAGCCTGTTTTACTGATTTCTCATTTGTCCTTCTTGTAGATCACAGAAAATATTAATGAATTCGTTTGAGGGATTATCGAATTTTTCCTTTTATGATGGAAAAATAAAAGCTCTCCCCTGTAGTTAAGATATAGCAGTAATGTTCTACAAAATAGAATTTGGGTTTTTCATTGAAGCCATACCGAAGATGTTGTTTAGAAGAACAATGAAAGTATCACATCAACTGCAACTTAATTTAGAGCAATTTAACCCTATCCAAAGATTCACATATTTATTTATCCTATTCACTTATGAAGAGGCATAGTACTTTGTAAAATTTCCTTGGTTTAAATGAATCTTTTTAAAATTATACTTTTTTTTTACTGTTAGTGTTGTTCATGTAACAAAAATACATCTATCGCAAACATTTTTTTCTCTGTACTGTTTACTTTTAGGAATATGTTGTATGATAGAGAAGCCTATAATACATTCTGCGAACCACGTTTACAAATTGACTTATTATTTACATATCTTCGTATGGAACGGAATATGACTAAAGAGGTAAAAAAAATAAAATTTTCAGAAATATTCTTGTTTCATTAAATTCACTCACTGATTCGTGGAGAATATATAGATTATTTTCAGTCAGTTTACCATTTAAAATACATTTAAGCATCATCCTCAGAAAAAAATTTAATCGGCTATTTATGACATTCATCAACATCGTGAGTACCAATTAAAAACCAGTTTCTTAGTTAACATCTGGTAGAGTCATTAATCATTGTTTTTTTTTTAAAAAATTGAGTGGGCAATGTATTTTAGTGAAGTTGAATATTGGCTAGCGATAGAATCCAGGACATTCGTTTTATCCTACTTGATACTTATCAGCTGAATGTGCTTACGTCCTAGTGTTCATTTCCACATTGGGACTCAAACGCTGTACTTTTCGCTCAACTTTTAGTTCACTGAGTTCAGATAGCTACTAATATATACAACGGGTATTAGTTTTCAGCAAAGTTGAATGTAAAATTTTAACGGATGAATTTATATTCAGTAAAGAAACAAACAAGTTAGATTCTTATTTAAATAAACCAGTTTTGTTGTCACACACCTACCTTATTGATTGAAGATGATAGACCAAAGTAATACACATCGCAAACGTTTTAAACCTTTGCAAAAATAATGTTGTTAAGTATTCAGTTGACAAATTTGTTTCCTGTTGTCCTTGTTTTTTCTTTTAACATATAGAATATGATTCATAGTGCATGGTATAATTTTATTGTGATAGTGAGTATCGACTAAGTCAACCTGTTATAACACTCTATACCCTAGATATACTACTTTGCTAAAAACAAGTTAATGAAAATTTTTTAGAATCTTTAATAACAAAATATTCTTGTCTTTTAATTTACAAAAGCATATATAAACGAATAGCATTGCTTCGAATAAGATCTTCACTAAGTCTAAACACACAGTAATAGTATTTATATGTATATATGTGAAATATCAAACCAATCGAGTTAATTTGAGTCATTGATTATAATAAAATAGACTACATAACTCAGTCAGTCAGTCACAACGTAGAACTTCAAACGTACGTACATCAGTTCGAGTTACCATACCACATTTCCACAGAGATGCAGTTGTCGATTCAAATCCCATAATGGTAGAAGTAGTAAGAGTATAAGCGGTAATCGGAAAGATTAGGGTTTGAAGATTTTATTCATGAAGTATAATCCCGTGAAATAAATTTGAAAAAAGAAAATAGATAGAGACATGAAGAATTCAGAAGATTAGAATTTGGTAGAACACAAAGAGTAGATGCACCTTCGCCATTGTGAACGATTTCGAGCCATGTCCTTCAAGGTCTCTAACCATCGGTTGTTATCATATCGCGAATCCCAACCAAGTAATCTACACCTATCAAAATGGCTTAGTCCAATTGTCAGTGACTTCATGGACTTGTCCCACGTTTTGCTCTTGCCACCCCTAGCTTTCTTCCAACTTACTCCTACACCATGAAACATTTCACGTCGGGGCAGTCGGTTGTTAGGCATACGTAACACATGTCCTAGCCATCTCAACTGATGAAGCTTTACTACTTCATCAATCGATTTCCCATCCTTACCTAGCTGAATGTCATATGTTGGAGGAATCTGGATACTTCATTTCTACTTGAAGTCTGTGCTGAAGATGTCTTGCAGAAGATTGATGAAAGCTCCACAACCAAACCATCCAGCTCAGAGAACAAAACTCCACCAAAATCATTCCCCTGAGCTACAAATCTCTACTACTTCAACGTTGTCATATGTTTGCTGATCGTACACATAATCATATGAGATTAATCTTCTATCTTTTATTCATCTTCAACATTCAACCCATTTTACTTCATTAAGAAGCACTGTGTTGTTTATAAAGTGTTATCATCGATTATTTTTTGTTGTTTTTAAGAATCTTGTTACGAACCTGTTTAAAAGTTAAAAATAACAGGGTAAAACTATTGAATTTCTTTTCATTTCTTCATTCTACTTCCATTGTTTTGCCAACTATGAAATAAACATGACACAGTATGTATGTGCATGACTTTATAATTTTATTATAACAATCTTTTTTTCTTGTTGAAAAAAGGTGTTTATTTTTTATATGACATTGTTGAATAATTTGTTCCTTGCTGGTTTGGATTGTTGTCAGCAATGGTGATACCGATGATAGTTACTAATATCAATTTTGTTTTTTCAGTTAACCGTTTTTACTCAACTGTATGCTTGATATATAACCTAAATATTTTATTTATCAATATAGATTTGATATTTCACCTACTTTTGCTAACTGGTCAATACTTTTATTTCACTTATAAGGATATTGTGTTACACAATCATTTCGAAAGTCTTATTTTGTTAATATAGTATGTATTTTTGCCTAAAAGTGACCTTTTCTTCTTTTCTCCGTCTTCTATGTTCACAACTTCTATTCCCAATGTCCACTAACGGTTTTTATGGTAATTCGCTAGCGGGGAATATATATATATATATATATATATATATATATATATATATTGACAGTTTAAATTATCATTACATTATCTTTTTTTACTACTGTGTCAGTTGTTCAGTTTTCTTTAGTACATATTTATTTCTTAATGTTAACTACTCTTAAGTGAATTACGCTATCCTCATAATTTAAATAATTTTGTTTTCATAAACAGCACATATTAAACTTTATAATTGATTTCTTATTCCACTAGCCGGTCAATAATACAGGAAACGCGTATTCCGCAATGGTGGGAAGCGCAATATCTTTAAATTATTTAGTTTTATTATCAGAAGGGGTTTTTGTGGAGATTTAGTATTCTCATAGTTGAAAGCGTGAGTCAATTAAAGCTAGACCACCAGAAATAACCTGAAAGCACTGGACGACAGTTTCGTCCTATCGTGGGATTCCTCAGCAGTGCGCATGCACGATCCCGCCTCGCGGGATTCGAACCCAGGACCTACCAGTCTCACGCCAGAGCACTTAACCAATAGACCACTGAGCCGGCATCCGATGGTGCTAATGTCTAACTCCAACTAATCCACGAAATTAAGCTACCATTCACCAATCGTCTTCAGTGAGTTCCTATCTCACAACAGACGTGGTTTGAACTTCACTGGTCACTGCTTCTCACTAGAGGCTTTTCCCTATTGGTCTAGCTTCAATTGAATCACGCTTTCAACTATTTAGTTTCATTTTTTCAATATTATTGTTGGATGATAATTACTTTCCCTCCTATTATTCTTGATATTTGTCATTCTAAATTTTACCATGATTAGTAAATGGATGATTGAATAAGAATACCAGTATGTAAATCGATTTCTTAGTTTCGTTTCTTCGAATATTCCAATGCTACAACCAGCAAATATTTCTTTTCTTCCCCATAGAGTTCATCTTTTTCTTTGAATTTAGTCAGTGTTTTTATTCAGGGTATTTCTAAGTTGTAAAGATATATGTAATTATTTATGTACTGCAACATTAGCATTTGATTTTATAGTTATACTATCTTAACATAAACAATACTTTGTATCGGTGTTTTAAATGATTGAATTATCATTAGTCGGGAATAATTGTTTTGTTCTTCTTCACAATCTACTAATTTTCACTGTTAATACTTATGCATAAGTTTACTTTGAAAATATTTAATTGTTATCCTGCTAAACACTTGTTTTGAAGATATATCTGTTGTAAGTACTATAACTTCGTAGATTTCATTATGACTAATGCTTGTGTTTATTCTGTCTATCAATATTGGCGTATTCTGTTAAATTTGAGGTGATCTTTTTGTCAAATATTCAACATGTCAGCTAAAGTTTGAATCTAGTGTAACCGCGTATAGTGCTAATAGTCAAGTACAGTTTTTTTCAGCTCACATTGATCTTGTGATGTTGAAGTAATATGACAAGATTCTAACTTGTGACTGAGTGGTTAAAAAGAGCTAGGGCTATTGTAATCACAGTAGTGTCGTTATTGATTTGTTAGTCATAAAATGCTTGTACTCTTGTCTCTGTATATTGCTTTTAAAGGTACAGACAGCATAAATGTTATTTACGAAACCATAGTTATTGTCAGGGTAGTACACCTAAATGCTCTTTTTCCAACCTTTTATATCATGGTATTTCGTCATCAATTTTATGAATTAGTAATTCAGTAAAGCATTTATTAAGGTTTTAATTCTAAATGTTTCATTCATTTCATTTAGAACAGATTCAGATAGTATCTGTAATGTTCATTGAAGAAATCTGGTTCAAAGTATAATATAAGAATATGTACTGGGTTATTGAGTTGTAAACTAAACTTTTTCTGCAGTTTGATATATATATATATATAATACTCTGGTTCTCTATTTTCGGTCATTAATCGTGTATCTGCTATAGTGTGATTCTCGGTTACTGGTAGTATTATCTTATTGTATTAAAGTAGTATATCGTTGAAAGGAGGAAATAATTCAATTCTACCGTTGTCTATATGTATACATGTAGCAATCATACTACTTTTGTTATTCTTATTTACAGAATCTCCTCCGTGTCACATCATCATTGATTAACCAAGCAGATGATCATTTACTGTCTATATGCAATGTAAAAGGTTTACAGATTGAAAAAATTTTAGCTATCGAAAGTTGGTGTGGTCCAATTGTCCCATTTGCAGTGTTTACAAGAGATTACAGTCTTCAATTGATAAATTCAGTGAAATCATGAAAAATAAAGATTTTTACGTTTTAATATTGAGATAGTTACATTATAATTGTACATAATGTGGGTCAATAAAAGATTTGTTCAAATTGTTTATTATTATTATTGTATTTAATACTTGTGTGCGGCTTATGCTCCTCCACGAGGGGTAACAAGCGTAAGTAAGTATTATTGTGTTTGTTCGTTGTATACCATAGCATATTAGCGTTTAGGTCATTCGGTTTTCACACATATACAGGGAGTTCAATGAAAATAGGCTGACACCATAGCAATAAAAATAATTATTCTTTAACAAACATTATTTAATTAATTTATAAAAGGAGATTAATCAGAACACGAATTGAGCAGAGTTAAAATTATTGATTAGTTTCTTCATTAATTAAAGGTACCAAGAAAGTAGAATGTTTTATTTAAGTAATGATTTGTTCGAAACCATAAATAGTAACTGCTTTACTTTACATGTAGCCGTGAAAAAATACCAAAACGTTTGATAATCGAACTGTCTGTGAAATAACATTCGTAACATATATCAAAGTCGTTATTAAAGGATAGTGGCATTCATTAGATTATCGCCAGTGAGTTTAAATTCACATTTCCATGCCTTTATGTTACTAATATTATGTTAGAAATGCTTCGGAAACTTTGAACACTCAAAATTTTCATCGTAATGCGATGTTATATATTTCATAATTATAATTAGATTGTATGTCCAAAACGTTCGTACGCAATGAAAACCATAATTATGGAAGAGTATATCTTGTTTATTATTATATACTCTACACATTACCCAAGATGAAGGTAAATCATTGTTTTGATTAACAGAGTAACTTTCATCTACAATCACTTATTTTCATTGTTAGAATTGATATTTTTCAATTAAAGGAAGATCTATTGATCACAGATCATCGTTTAGTTAGGTATGTTACATTGAAAAAGGTATTTAAATTATCTGGACCTATTATACTTGTCAGTTAACAAAGTCATATATACTAAACAGGTTAGTTGTATAAAATAGTAGAGAATGGTTTACAATTTTTCATGATATTATCAAAGGAATCGTAACTTCTAATATTAAGCTAGAAAATCTCTAGGATAAAAATAATCTACTATAAATACAAAAATAGTAAGTAAAATTGGGATAGCATATTTAACAACCTAAAACGGTTTAATGATAGTGACCAAACAATGACATTTAAAATATCCTAATTAAACAATGTATAAAGTGGAATGGATTCATTACCGAAATGTCATGGACAAGAAAGATACATAAAATTCAATTTCTTCATTATTTTCAACTTAAATTCGTTTGTGATCAAAGAGAGTTATGTGTAAAATTGATAACATTTTCAGAGACTACATTATTACATATTTTTTTTGTCCCTTTTTCATGATTTATAAAGAAATATAAAATCTATTTACAAAATCCTATTTAACCTTCATCTATATTCTTTAACATTTTCGATTCATTTCTTATTGATGTTGCTAATTCTTTCGTTCCATATAAAGGTCTATTCCTTATAGAACTATTATATGTTAACATTAAACTGTCAACTTATTTAGTTAAACATCTTTTTTTTATTATCAAATTCAAGTTTACATAAGTTAGTTTTCATCAACAATATTCAACATATTCAGTTTCATTCATAATTTATCATAGTTTTGTAATAATACTATTACTAAACAGTTGTCAGCAAGAGAAAAACGAAAGCTTGGATACTATTTGACGACTTAGAAAAAGAGCCTAGACATTTTAAAAACATTTTGTTTTGTAGAAAAAAGACGTCTTATAAATATATATATACCCGCCCCCCCAGGGAACGTTCTGTAATCTTAGCTGAAATTATAATACCAACTTTTCACTCATCACATTTATCCACATTTTACATAATATTATTTCAACCACCACACTGACTGTATAATTCCATCATGGAAATGAAATCTTTGTATTTGTGTATGCATATATATATATATATATATTCAATTGCATTCTATTCCTTCCTTGTTAACTATTATTCTGGGTAAAAATAAGATATATATATATATATATATATATATATATATATATATATATATATATATATATATATATATATATATATGAAAACAGCATAGCTTCTGCATGAAATTTGTTAACACTTTGCTACCATTATGTTTGTTCATTTTTCTTCGATATATATATATATATATATATATATATATATATATATAACCAACAAAATTCCATGTTGTTTTTCAAAAAATTCATGGATGGGATTAGTGAAGAAATTGACTAGATGACGGACGATATTACTAACAATAACATTATCAGTAGATAGTAGAAAATGTGAAATAGTATTTCGTCATCATCATTAATTTGTCTAACAGATCAAATTATGTTCTTATTTCTAACGAGATCGACAAAACTAAGCATCTGATGCTTTTTTTTATCTTACTTTTTCTCAATTCTAAAATATTTTACATGATTAGCATATTCATCTCATGTCGTTTTCTATCAAGAGAAGAATGTATGTATGTTATGAGACAAGAACAAGGTGAAACTGTTGTACTTACGACCTTGAGTGACTTGTCAGCCAATTAGAGAACAGTGTTTGGTTAAAAAAAATAATAGAATTACAATAGATAAACAGTTTTGACATAAATAATAGATCTTTGTTGAATTGTTTATTACAATAAACATTCAATCAAAAATATGATAAGTGACTTCATTTTATAGATGTTTCTGAGAAATGTGTGTTCAATGTTTATTGAATAAAACGTTTTTATTCAAAGTTCCCCTCTGGGCTTTTTTCGAGGAATACTCTTAGTTTTATCATTAATTTCATTTATCTTGCTTTTAACTAATAAGTGACATTTTACAATTTATTCATCAGAAAGACATCAATATTGTCTTTAGTTAGACATGATTAATGGAGGGCATGGTATAAATAATCGTTATTTCTAGAGTTACAATGTCAAAATAACAAGATGAAACGAGAACATCCACAGGGTTTATGAACTCTTTCAGTACTCTTTTTAGTGTGAAACACCCACAGAAATTTGGTCAGCATGATCAAAAGCTCTCGTTAGGTCAAAAACCTACAACTATAGCTAAGTGTTTGTAAGTACGCCTATATATAAAACATTTGATCAAAATATTTTCAAATGCAATCAAATACTTTAAGGATAGTGAACACTGTCAATAAAATGTATCATGGAAATTTTTTTTTAAAATCTGATGTGAAACCGGTAGCTTTGATCTTTACTCTTATTATTTACGTATAATCTCTTGTAATATATGTATTCAAATAAGAAATTGGATGTTACTAGTGTGGTGTGTGCTACTGATTTCGATAGATATAAATAGCATGTATCATCAGTCGAAAGTAAAATGCCTGGAGGCAGAAGGATAAGGAGATGGAAAAAAAGAGAACGAGAACAGAGAGCGATTGGTGTGGAAACGAAGGAACAATGAAGTTTCAGATAATTGATTGATACTTTGTCAATGAATTATTTACTGTATGGTTCTCACATTTTACTTTGATATTCTGTAATGTTGTATTCAAATAAGATTGGTTGTCCCTACTTGTGTTCTAGTTCACTATACAATAACAAATAAAAAGATAGAATTTCTATAGTGTTCAGTTTGAAGATAAATATAATCATGACTTGATTAATCTGGTAGAGTTTTCAAAGTTCAATGAACACTAGATATTTGTTTCTGTTATAGTTTGCGAAACTTCATCACTGTTAACTGATAATACCTTTAGATAGTTTGAAAAAGAAACCTTTAAGACACATTTAGACTATTGAGTTTACATCACTAATGTTTCGAATTAATTTTATTAGAGTTAGATTATTAATTTAATCATTCCTATTCCTAGAAAAGTGTTCAATAGTGTTTAAAAGATTTTTATTGTACATTCCTTTTTAATGAAAACTTTTGATTGTACACTCCATTCTATTGAATTTGAATCCTAATTATTGATAAAATAATGTAAAATTAAATAGGAATAATATATATTAGTAAAATCTCAGCGAATGAATTGAAAGTAAATCCAACGTTTCGTCTGGCAATCTCGTCCAAGCTTTTCCAAGGAATTAATTCCTGAATTTCTTACATCAACTTGGCGCTCAATTACTGTGAAACTATTCACCCTAATTTAGACGAAAGTTCTTATATAATGTAAAATTACTTTAAATTTCTGTTTATCAATATTAGGAGGTGATTATTTCCAAGTTATATTTGAGTCATCAGTATATTTGGATTATAAATCTATTGCCTCAATTATCCAGTTTGATATATTTTGTTTAGACGAATAATCTGTTTGAAAAAGTTGACCAAACATTAATTAAGCTTCAGTCTTGATGTGAAACAGCTATATTGTTTAGTTCTAACATTAAATTCAACTGTCAGAATGATAGTTTTTTCAGTCGAATATTTTCTAAACTATTTATTAACTGAGATTTATTTAGAAGAAAAGATAGATGGTGGTTAGCAGTGGAATCCAGGACGCGCGTCCCGACCTATTTGGGACTCGCGTCGAATATTTTCTAAACCATTCATTAACTGAGATTTATTTTTGTAGGATCAAATGTAGACTGACTTATGACCACTGTAGCCTAGTTAAATGTGTTATATCCCGAAGAGAATTATGAATGGCACCTTTCGAGAACTATTTATGAACCAATATGATAAATATATTTTTATTGTATAATTGTTAACTAACGAAACTATTCATATTCCTGTCCCTCTTATTATAGGCTTTATTTTGACCTATGAAATATTATTAAATGATTTACCGTTCTTGAGTTATACCCAGTCTATTCATTACTGTTCACCACAACCACAGCCACTTTTGCTTGAATCTTGTACAAGTGTCATTTTCTAATTTATGATACGATGTGGTCTATTTGATTGGTATATAAACTAAGTATGTTTAAAATATGATGATTCATACCTTAGAGGCTGTTATTGGTGCTCTGGACTTAACAGGCAGGGATAGGCAGAAAGCAGGACCGATAAGTACTCTAGACTACTCGTACGGGTTTTGTGTGTCATTGGTCCGATCGATAATTCACTGCTTCCCAATTGGCATCATCGTCACGTCATATATAATAATCGGGGCACAAACCCAGATGATATAACAAGTAGAACACTGCTCCACTTGATTTTATTAGTTTTTTGTTTACATATTTATTTTGAAAGCAGTGATCATAGGATAGTAACTTGTGCTCTCCCCATCTGTCCCTCCTACAACCGACCAATTCAAAGAACCTGCAATTATAGAGACTATAAGCATACAGACTGGGACCTCTTGCGCTCACTGATCAAACTCTCAGACTGGGATGAATTCTTCTCATGTAATAGTCTGACAGATGCCATCAACATATTCTATTTGATTGTTAACTCTTGTCTAGACTCCTGTGCTCCAATTAAGACTTACAGGATTAGTAAACATCACGAATTATATATACCAGCTAAATATCGTAATAAACTAAGACGCCTAAAGAAACGTTATTTTAAGGCTAACGACTTCACCGCAGTCACACAAATAACAATAATTTTTAACCAAATTAAAGAGAAACATAGGTTAAAAGCCATCAATGAAGAGCTATTAGCACTAAGTACTAGCTCAAAAGTGCAAAACCTAATCCACCTTTACAATAAACGTGCTAAATCAACTCAAAATGTTGATATACCATGCATCCTGCATAATAATAGTTTTATATATGACCCAAAAACTATAGCAGACCTTTTCAGTGGTAATTTTGCAAATGGCAAAGAATCCATAAATGGCTCTGTTTCTAGAGTTATATGCTTGACTGGTAACTCAATAACATCTATCTCCTTCACATGTCTGAAAATTAGTAAGGTTATAAATAAGCTCAAGGTTTCGAAAGGTCACGGTGCAGACGGGATTTCATCATTTCTCTACAAATATGGTGGTCCAGATATCCAACTTCTTCTCCTTAAACTGTTTAACCTCTCTATGGAATCAGGCTCTTATCCTGACCGTTGGAAAACCGCGTACATCATACCACGTTACAAATCCGGAGATAAGACTGACATGAACAACTATCGGCCAATAAATATTACTCCAGTTATCTCTAGGATTATGGAAAAAATTATTAGTGACGAGCTATCCAACTATTTATTGACTGAACAATTTATTGATGATTCGCAACATGGATTTCTTAAAAATCGATCTTGTATGACATGTCATTTTGACTTCTTTAATTTAGTCTATTCGCTTCGTAGCCAAGGATATCTAGTATTAGTGCTATACCTGGACATTTCTAAGGCCTTCGACATGGTCAACCACCAACTTCTCATAGGTAAACTCGCATCTTATGGGGTCCAAAACCCGTTACTAGCCTGGTTTGATTCCTTCCTCAGCAATCGACATCAAATAGTTAAAATCAACTCTTCATTGTCGAACGCAGTCCCTGTTAGAAGTGGGGTAATTCAGGGTAGTGTCTTAGGTCCTTTGCTCTTTTTAGTTTTCATTAATGATATTTGTGAGTGTTTTAGTGTGGGTAAGTCCCTTTTGTTTGCAGACGATCTTAAGGTGGTGTACTCATTTTCTCCACATGAGCTGAGCAATATTCGAAATTGCATCAGCACGGAGCTTAACAAGGTAGCACAGTGGTGCTCAAAATGGCAGCTGGAGCTCAATACAGCTAAATGTGGTTGGCTACGCTTCGGTGATACATCACTCAACTTTAATCTTACCATAAATGGGGAAATGTTATCTAGGTTACACACAGTAGTAGATCTAGGGCTTAGGTACTCCGATGACTTGTCGTTTACTGAACAGATAATGAAACAAACGTCCAAGTCTCAACGCCTTATAGGTTTCATAACTCGAAACCTTCATTACAGCGAATCTCGTATATTAATGTACAAAGTCTGTGTTCGACCACTCCTCGAATACTGCTCGTTTCTCCTTAGTAGCACGCGCATAAAGGATAAATTAAGACTGCAATCAGTACAGAG